CTTTGAGCCATATATGTCATTTTCTGTGAAAGATATCAAAAAGTGGCTAACTAGTAAAATTTTGCTGATATCCTGATAAACATTTTACTAGTTAACCACTTTTTGATATCTTTCAAAAGAAATGAGATAAATAGGCTCAAAGTGGACGATCCGGGTGTCGTTCTATTAGAGGTTTATCATTGGATACGGTAATCATTGGATACAAACGGATCATAAAAATACAGTGATGCTCAGTTACTGCTCTCAGGCCTCAATGCCTTCATTCTATTAATAGAAGGGCTCTACACCTTTAAAAAGATTTTTGTCCTTTTACTTCTTTTTCTTAATACTTTCAGGTGGAACTGTACAGCCTTAACCTAATTCCGTTTTTCTCTTTAAAAATGATTTTCTGTTTCAAAAACTTTTCAAAAAAAAGTTTTGGTAAATTCTTGTTAATTCCTGTGTCTTTCACGATTCAGAGCTACTGCTTACCAGTCAGAAGAATAATCCCATAACTCGGATTATTCCAAAATAGAACAACTAAAAAAGTAAACAAAAATAGAGTTCAATTTGGCATCATTTGAACTGAAATATTTCTTTTCTGAACAATCAAACATTCTACCTTCGTCATCCACATTAGCCGATTCTGTTTGTGAATACAATGTTCCAGAATAGAGTCAGGAATAAATAAATACTATGTCATCAGGAGCAATTTTGACCTCAACTTGTCAACATGATCCTTTTTGACATCTGATTCAGATTCAGAAGAGATTTACAGCTAGTCGTAAAACTCTGACAACTATAAATTTTAACGCTTTAGCTTCCTAATAGCAAAAAGTTTAGATCCGTCTAAAATATAACACCTGTGAAGTCCCAAAGAACAAATAACGTTTTTTTTTGTTTCGATTAATAAGATGGAAGGAACCATAAACACATCCCTTTTCGTTTTTCCTAAACTTTTCAAAAAAATGTATCCCGCCAGCCGAATTAGAATTTAGTCACGCATGTGTGATACCTCTTCTTCACTTCAAAAAGTTTGCTGTCTCCGCTTTTCTGATAATTTTGGCATTAGTTAAAATGTAATCACATGTGTTTAACAAGTAGTTTCATATCTTCACTTTTTGAGGCTGTGTAGCTCTTTTGAAGTTGGAGTTTGAAGTTGTAAACTTTGATTTCTAGCTGAAAAGGTTCAGGAATTCTGAAAATTCCGAAATTGGAGCAATTCTGAAAAAAAAATAGCTAGAATCCACGTCTTCAGTAACTGTTTAGACCTTAAAGCTCCCCAAACTAGCCATTGCATTTTTGTATGTTTTTTTCCCACATTTAATTGGTTCAGCAAATATACGGAATCATTTCAAAGCAGATGGTAGCATTTTGTTTGGGAAGTTCAAACTCATTCATAAAGTTTTATTGGTCTTTTAACGATTTTCTCCCCTTTTTTGACATTTTTATTTGTTTGTCACAAGTTTTCATAGCATTCTCCCTCTATTCCATATCGCTAATTATCCCTTGCTCTCTACTTTGAAGTAGAGATTTTCACTCCCCTCAACAACTTCTGCCACTTTACTTTCATTCCAGTAACTATGTCAACTGCCCAAAAACCACCTCCATCCGGAGGAGATCTTCTTCGTTCTCTTCTGATGGAACCAACCATTGCTTCTCAAAAACTCAAGGATACGGTCATTCAAACTCTCGGGATCCGCGAGCAACCATCAGTATGGACCCGGCCATTCGTTTCCACCAACGCCAATTACCAACCAGTTCCGAATTTCCCAATCAAGTATCACTACATGTACACCGACGTTGCCGCGATCCCTTTGCATCATTTTTATAACCCATCGCTCTACAATGGAGCCAAAATCGATGTCGACGACTATCTCCCACAGTGTGATCTCTACTGGCTCCGCAAGACATACGAGAGAGATCTCTATAAGAAAAAGCAGCAATTGAAAGGTAATTTAGAGTAAATAGAATTTTAACACAAAATATTGAAGCGGAATTCTTGAAAAAATCGAAGCTTTGAAAAAATATTTTTTCGAAATCTACCCATTGAAATTTCAATTTTCTGGACTTTGAATTTTTAAAACTTATCCCTGTTTCATAAATTTGTATTAAGATCCAGGAAAGTATTGAGAAATTATTTATTCTTCTATACATCTTTGTACGTTTAAAATTGTTTCTAAAATTTTCGAAACAATATTATTCTGACACAAAAAAGAGCAGTGGAAGACAAACGTCCGTGGCCGAAGGCCTCACAACGACAACTACAGTAACCTAAAATTTTTTCATTTTCCGGATTTACTTTCTTGATTTTCGGGTGTTTTCAATCAATTTTTCATCATCAAAAATTTTTATTTTCGCGCTTTTGTTGAGAAAAAAAAACCGAAAACTCTACAAGTCATTGGATACGGAAAATAACATTTTACGTTGCGTTAGGTGTCGTTGTGGGATTTTCGGCCAGCGCCAACTTTTCCACAGCTGCGATTTTTGTACCAGATAGCTAGCCCACTAGCCCCTATAACTAGCCCCTATAACTCCGATCGTATATTTTTCAGGTTTCCAATGACTTCCTGCTCCAACACCTCTTCTGATCTTCTCTTCTGAACTTCGACCAACCCGCCTCAACTTTTTATCCCAGCTTTCTCCTAAAAATTATCCCCAGCTAACAATCTCGCTCACTGTTCCCTTTCTTTTCATGCACCGTATATTTCAATCCTCGCAATTTTACATGACTGAAATTCAACCCATTATTCTAATAATAAGCAGCTAACCTTCGCGTTTTCATGGATAGAATTTCTAAATCCCTAACAATGCTCTGGTCCCAAATTATCATGATTCCACCTCATGCTCTATAAAAGAAGCAAACTATAGACATTCAAATATTCATGTTCTTTTGATTCCACTTGCAAAAGTTGTTTTGACAAGTTCCTCGTTTTGTGTTTACAGAGTTTTTCCTATTGATTGATATATTGTGTTCAGCTGAATAAATATATGAAAAATATATGACTCTGCTGTAAACTTCCAGTTGTTAAGGAATGCGATAAAAGTTTTTGAACTTTTGCAGCTTCATAGTTCCCAAATTATTTAACGAATTCATGTGGGCGCACAATCACCAGGAGTAATAAAAACGGGCATATCTTTCGGCATAAATATCTTGGAATCTTGAAAATAGGTAGAAGTATAATTTCACGTCTGATTCAAAGGTACTAAAATTTTCAAAATGATCCCTCAAGTCTTGGTGTTTTTGTTATTGTTCAAAGATGAATGCTTCTTGAACGCTGTTGTGATTTTCATAAGATGAAGTAACTTTGGAAAGCGATAACTCAGCTCAAGGTTTATCAAATAATTTGAAAATTGGCTATACGAAAATAATCGGCCCCGTAAATTCTCCCCGTAAATCGGTATGCTCCTTTGATTTGCGTCTTTAATTTCGCTGCCGCAGCTAAGCTCCGCCCACCGGTGTTTTCCGCAACGTGCATTGATTTCGGACGAGAGTTATTTGAATTTACGCACTCCAAATTCGAGCCCAGTACAACATTTCAGCCAAATGTTATGCTAGTACAAACTTTAGACCGGGTAATTATGCGCCACCCTGTACTTAATTTGTCTCCGAATATTTGGCACACCTTGGTACGCTTTCCTGCAAGTTCTTGCTCATTAGCCCTGCCACACATTGTTTTGCTGTTTAACGTCATATTCGAGAGCCCCTTTTTTGCAAACTCAGCAAAGTCTTCTAGGTTTCGCTCGGACCGTCTGACACGGTTTCTTAAAAAGCTATCCCGAGGGTTCCCAAATATTTTCTGTATATCAAAGTTTTGAATATTATGAAATTTTCCGTCTAAAATTTTTGAGTTGCCGAATGGGTAAAAATCATACTTGTGGAAAAGATGGCTGGTCCGCGTGCCGGAGCGGGCCGAGCCGAAAAAATTACACATGGCCAGCCCGCTTTTTGAAAATTTCGAAATTTTAGAGCCAATCATCATTTTTCAAGATGGCTTTTCTTCTTAATAAATGAAAATCCACACTAGAGACCGAATCTGTCGAAAAAAACTGTTTTGAGGTCGTAATTAGAAAAAAAGTTCCATCCTTGGCTTAATGAAGTTTGATTTTTTTTTTGCTAAAAATTCAATTAAATTGACTTTTTAGGATGTTGTATACATCTGAATTAATATTTGTGCTATTAAAAATATTTTGGCACATTGAAAAAATAAAATTTTCCGAAAAGTTGTTCTAGGCAGGCCGGGCCGAGGGTTTTGAGAAAAGCGGGCCGGCCCGGCCCGGCTCAGCCCGGCCATCCACTTGTATAGTAAAAGCAGTCTATAATTACTATGTCTTTCATCTCCCTAATTTATGTATTTTCAAAATTTTTTCACCATAGAATACATTTTTTCTGACTTAAATTAAAACGACTCGAAAATTTGAAGCGAAGTGTTATGGTTTTTTGGTTAGAACCGTTCGATGAAGGACGTGTACTGTTAACTAATAGTATGAAAGCACATAGATTCATAAACTAAAGATTTGTAACTGTATTTTATGCAATATTCTAAATCAAGTTTTTTGAGTTGTTCTTTAATTGGTTTATTGTTTCAAAAAGTTTATTTTATGGTCAGGTGTATGGGTGCAGAATCTATAGGTGCAGAATCTTCCAAATAAGTCGAATTTTTTAAAGTTTCTCAAACTCCCAGTTTCAGAAAGTTCATTTTGCCAGAACAAAGTTTCTACCATTATTTCCATCGAAGGTAAAGACATTTTCCAGAATTTAGCTGATATACGCAGAGAAGCGAGACTGCATTCCGTTTTCGGTACTTCCAAACTTCAAATGACCATAAATCGGTTCAAAATTGACCTAGAAACTTGATTTCTAGTTTATTTTTAAGAAAATCCCATAAATTATCATATTTTCAATGTGGACCTTTCTCTCGGAAAACTCAACCGTCAACTGACTCATCTTTTCGGTGAACAATAATCCTTTTAGTACTCGAATGTCTGGAGGCGGTTTTTTTATTCCTGATTACAATGGTTTTCAAAAAACTAGATGCCGTAAATCCAATGATAGAAAGACGCCGGCGAATTTTGTTGACAGCATTGATGATGTTGGGATCAATAAGTTTTAAAATTAAATCCCATATGTAGAACCACCGAAACATAAAATTCTGATAGATCTCTTTTACACTTATCCGACACCATTGTTTTATTTTTACTACTGTTCAAAAAAGAGAAACCATTACAATGCACCTGCATTGTTCATAAATACATCAAAAGGCCCGGCTGAATGTAATCCCCCATTCCTTTGACCTATTTTATATTACTCCTCTGTCTTTTTCCAACAACTGTTCAAATAGGTTTTCAAAATGTCTCGCTTGTTCACACACAGACATTCAATCTTCCCATTTTCCTCCTCTTGAACTGTCGAGTAACTCTTTCCGTCCGCCTGAACAATTAGTATGTCCGAGGGCTCTGACCTCATTCAGTGCTTGTTGACAGTCTCCTCCGGGAACATAAAACCGATTGAAATAGTATTATTTCGGAGAGAGAAGTCAGAGGGAAAGAGTGGACACTACCCGGAATGAGTCATTTCCTGACAATCCCCCATGGAGACGCCTCCTTTTCTTTTCCTCCGAAAGTAATATTTCGTAATTTGAATCCTCTGGAATGGCCTTGTCAAGCCGAAAGGTCAGTTGTGACGGGTGGGGAGAGAGAGAGAGAGAGAGAGAGAGAGAGAGAAAGAGAGAGAGAGAGAGAGAGAGAGAGAGAGAGAGATAGAGAGACCCCGCCATTTGCATAGAGAATACGTATGTTGTTCTTCTCATTCGTATTCTTCATGTACCTTTATTCCAGAAATTGAATTTTTCTGGAAAATAAATTTTTAACAATATCCCTGTTTCATAGTTTTGTATTAACATTCAGTTAAGAAAATTGAACAGTTATTCGCTCTTCGATAAGACTTTTTCGCTTCAAATGTTTTTAGTATTTCCAAAACCTTCTATTATTCTTGTATTAAAAATTGGGGCTGTGGTCTAGAAACGCCGGTGGTCGTGGCCGGAGGTCCCACAACGACAACTACTGTAACCTAAAAATGTCTTGATTTTCCGAATTTACTATTTAAATTTACTATTGTTTATCGTTTTTTACTGCTTTTTTGGTACTTTCACGGAAAAAAAAAGTTAAATTTTCCGATAAGGAAAATTTTGACTGAAAATACAAGAAAATTGAGCTCATAAATTTGAAAAACAACCATCTTTTTTGATTCCGGTAGTTTTTTATTGTGATTTTCGGCCACGACCACCTCTTCCGCAGCTCCTATTTCGTCTGGACCAGAATAATAATAACCTAAATCCGCTCGAAAATTCAAAAACTGTCATTCACCAGAAATCACATCTGGCACTAACACCTCCCCTCTGTATAGGCAAATTCGAATTTTGATTCAAATTCCAAATGACAAGTGTATCAAAAAGTGACACATTTTGACTACTATTCAATCAAAACTGTTCGGAAACTGTATTTTTTCTTTTTTTTTTGCAATATTTGCTTTTTGAATTGTATATCAGGTGACGTGGCAGACAATGACAGTCAACACAATAGAAGCAACAAATGGATGAAAAGCATATGATTTTCGAATTGAGGTGTCGAAATACTACATTTATTTTTAATGATTTCAATTTCAGTTTCTACAGCTTGTGTTGAATGTTTCGCCATCACCTTAAAACCTTAAAAAATAGAAGGGCCGCCAACTTTTAACTTTGAGCCAATTTTTCTCAGCTCCTGTCCAAGACATCTAAAACTGGTAAACTGATAAATTGTTTATCATAATATCAGAAGTGTTTTATCAGCTGACACATTTTTGATATCTTACAAAGGAATTGAGATAATTGAGCTCAAACTTGACAGTGTGAGGGGTCTTCTATTTCAGGTTTTACACTTGTGCTTCTTCAGAAAATGTTCTTAAAGTTTTTAATTATTCTATAGTACGGTAATCAGGAAGACAATCTTCACACCTAATGCAATCATAAAAATACCAGATACTTCCTCTGACTCATTCTTCTTATAATACTCGTTCTTCCACTTTTTTCTTCATTCTTCTAGATGTTTCCTCTTGTTTTGGTATCTTTTCGGAGTACTACTACGTGGGGTGATTCATTTCTTCCGTACTCTATTTCTGTGTCTTTTCTCACTTTTGTTTGTCTGATCGTTCATCGTTTTGTTGCAAACAGAAAACAAACATGTTTCATTTGTGCTTCTTCTTTTTTCCCTCTGCTTTCTGTCTTTTGATTCTCTAAAGGACTTGGAGCGCAGAGTCACTTTAGGACCACAACAACACGACTATTAGCCTTTGGGACCTCAAATTTCAAAAGAAGAATTTTGTAACCACCTTCTCACCTTTTCTCTTCTTTTCTCTTCTCTTTGCTTGCCTATTTTTGCAGAAAAGGAGAGAGAGAGAGAGAGAGAGAGAGAGAGAGAGAGAGAGAAAGAGACCCCCATAAATATTCATTTTCACATTTCGATTCGACAATATATTTTCATTTTCCCCCTTCTTCTTTTCTCTATTGACTCCATCTCTACTTTTGGTTTTACTGTTTTCTTCTTCTTTTTTGGCAGTATGTACCTGCACCACGTCATGTTTTTGTTGACTTTTTTCAGAGTCTTATCTATTCAGAAGGCAGGAGTTGTGAAATTTGGTTTTTGAGATTTTAGATATGCCCGACCAAAATCCTTCATGCATTAAAATGTTCGAAAGTTTATGTATTTTCCTAATATTGTTGCAGAAAAATTCGAAAAACAATCCGAAATTCCTAAAAACGCCGTTGAAAGTGAGCATTTCCAGAAAAAAGGCAGCGAATATGGACGAGGATTTGAGATCCCGCGCAGTGAGAAACCTAGGCCACGGCCAGGGGACGTCTTTTTTACATGACATTTTTCCAGGAATTTTCCGCTTTTATATCCGATAAGTAAAAACGGAAGATACTATTATCGGCCTCTATAAAAAGGTGTCCCACCGCCGTGGCCTAGGTCTCTCACATCGCGCGAGTTCAAATCCTCGTCCCTATCCTATCTTTTTTTCAACGACGCTTTCCGGTATTTCAATTTTTAAAATTTTTTCCGTAATAATATAAGGAAACTACAGAACTTTTCATAATCATTTTATTTCAATAAAAGTTGTTCTCCCTGTTTTTTCTATTCAAATATGAAACAAATCCCCACTCTCTCCTCTCTATCCATTATCCCTTTCTGACTTTCTTAAGATTTCTTTTTCCCACTGTAGACTTTTGGTGCATGAGACGCAGAGAAATGCGATTCTTCTCCAACGTCTTCTGCTTCAATGGCTTTTTTTCTTCGTTCTCCTTTTATCACCTTATCTCCATGCCAACTGTGCTCACGCTTTCTTCTTCTTTCTTCTTGCTTCTTTTCATTTTTCTTGAAGAAAAAATGTTCGGCATTTTTTTATCTAGCTCGTCTAGCTCAATCTCCATAATACCGTAAAACCTGTAATAGAACGGCCCTTTAAATTTTAACTTTGAGCTAACATATATCGGTTCCAGTCGAAGATATCAAAAAGTTGTCAACTAATAAATTGCTTATCATAATATCAGAAGTTTTTTGTCAGTTGACACATTTTTGATATCTTGCATATGAATTGAGATAATTGAGTCCAAAATTGAGAGAGTGAGGGCTCTTATATTGCAGGCTTTACGGTATCTTCTAAATTTTTTACTTGGATGCTCTCTATCTTCTTCCATATTTCGTATTCTTCAAACTTAAAAAAAAACTTCGCAAATCATGAATTTGTAATTTTCAGATCCCTTATTCTCCAACGAAACTCAAAATGGCCGAGGAGAAGATGACTGCCAATGTTCCAGCCGATGCTGAAGAGGGACGTGTCTTCGTCATCGAATCGAATCGTCGTGATGAGATTGCCAAGTTGGTTGTCCTCATCGTTCTCATCATTGTCTTCCCGGTACGTCATCTTCAAAACATTTGTATCCCAAATCTAGCTTAGCCACAAGACCCACACATAATCCTTCTCTTCTTGCTTCACTGATCAGCTCAAAATATCATGCACTTTACGAATTGAGAAACTCGAAATAACTGAAATTTCGAAGCTGATCATTTGAGAATTAATCATAGGAAGAAGACCAAATTATAGAACCCTGAATCACCCGGACACCAAACTTTGAAAGTAATCTGAGACTGTAATATTATTCTAGTATGAAAAATCGGAGCTACGGAAGGAAACGCTAGTGACCGTGATAGAAGGTCCCCCAACGACAACTATCGTAACCTAAAATTATTTTTTTTTATTTATCTCGATTTTTGTGCGTTTTCAGTCAATTTTGTTCACTATCAACAGTTGTTACTTTTCCGACTTTTTGGGATGAAATAGAAAAAAACTCGACAACAAAGCGAAAAAACGATAAATTAGTGGTTTACTGACCAGTTCAACATGCACTTTACGAATTGAGAAACTCGAAATAGCTGAAATTTTGAAGCTGATCATTTGAGAATTAATCAAACGGAGAAGATTAAAACATTTAATCCTGAATGTACCGTAAACACTCTAATTGAAGGTCACCCTATACTTGCACTTTGAGCTCATATATCACGGTTCCTGTAACAGGTATAAATAAATGGGCACATGACAAAATGTTTGTCATAATAACATAACCATTTTATCAGTTGAAATTTTTTCGATATATCTAATGGAAATTGAGATAATTGAGCTCAACGCACAAGTATACGGTGGCCATCTATGAGAGTGTTTACGGTATTCATCCAGGCTTCGAAAATGCCCAATCTAAATAATAAAAATTCATAATTTTCCAGCCAGCAGCGGTCGCCGTTCATGCCAACGAGTGTAACATGCACGTCTTCATCTCTCTCATCCTCGTCTTCTTCTTCATGATTCCATCGTACATCCACGCCGTCTGGTACTGCTTCTTCCGCAAGCCAACTCAAATGACAATTGCTTAAATCTTACTGTGACATATACAGTAATCCATGCCCCTCTCCATCTCATATTTTCTCTAATCCCCCAAATCAACAGAATCATAATCCAACGCTTTATCAATGAGCAATTCCTTTTTCGCACTCCCAAATCTTCGTATTATTTCCCTCTCCATTGTATTTGTTTTGACGAATTTTGTATTATGTTTCGATAATCAATAAAGTTTACTCCAGAATTGGCTGTTTTGACAAAGAAAGAACAGGGGATTCGCGAGATACAGTAGTTTTATGCTCCTGGCATTGTATCAACCGCGGCGCACTGGGAGTCGTCGCGCTGCGTGCGAGACTCGCACGTCATCGACGTATCTCAGATTGTCTTTTGTGCACATCCATTTGAATATTCTATTGATTACTGTAGCTCTATTGATTACTATAAATAAATCCCTGCGCGGAATGTGTGTTTAGTGATTTTGGTCAGGCCATTCGGTCGAAAATTGATTTAGGTGCAAAATATCTACACGATAATGCCCAAACAAAAAAATCTGTTTTTATTTTCTAGCAAATCGATTTGGATTCTTCATGAATGAAAAAAATTAGCGTTCTTTCGATTTTGTTCTGCGTCTCTTACTCTGCATATACTCACTCGCTCCCCTCATCGTCGGCGCATCGCGCCCTTCGCTCCCGCATTTTTCATCGCTCGCTCTTAAAATTTCCAGGTTTTGCTCACTCTAGAACTCAACATTTCTAACACATTTTCGAAATTTATAACTCATTATCGATTGTTTCATTCGTTAAATTTTATCAATTTGTCTCATTTTCTCTCATATTTCAGCGAAGGAACTAACATGGCCGGAGACTTGTTGTTGTCCATCAAAGACAACAGCGAATATTCATTAGATATGGATGAGTCGAAACTTCAGCAACTCGTCATCTCATTTATCTCAGTTGATAAAGAGAAGATTCGCGACAAAGCAGCAGTGAGTCGTTTCAATTTTTGAATGAATCAAAACAGGGAAAATTTTCAGAAAAACCGCAATTTCAGAGATTTCATTGAGTCAGCCCGTTTCCTCCAGCAATATGCTCGATTGACTGGTTGTGAGAAGAGTCTTCCGCCAGCGGATTATCTTCAAAAAATAAACAGCGAGAAAGCATCGTTTAGTTTTAAGAAGATTCATCACACATTCAATCTTTTCGACATTGTGGTGAGTTGCATTCTTTTTTGAAAATCGAAAAAAAACACCGGTTAAATTTTCAGTTCAATAAAACTCGACACGGTTTCGGCCAAGTCGATTTTCCAATCGAGAAGAATCACGGAGTAACCGCAATCGAAGATGTTGGTGAATGCGAGGCTCCATGTCCACTTCGACGAGTTTTTGTTCTTGAAAATATGAATGTTCCAGTCTGTCGCTTCGATCCAATCATGTTCTGTCAGGTAAGCATGCAATCGATATATGAATGGAAACTTTCTTGTGCAGTCCTGGATTCTCTCCGTTCTCCGTCCAAAATTCGTATTCCGTGGGCTTGTCGCCTGTCCAAAAGGAGATTATGGTCTTGCTCGATTCATCGTAGAAATCGGAAACACCAGAGGAGCAACTGTCCGATCAGAAGTCTCGGTACCATTTAGAAGTGGAGATGAGGAGAAACTCGGCAAATTCATTCCGTTCGAAGTCGGATCTCCAGAGTACAATTTCCGCCCAACACACGTCTTCTTCTTCGTTTGCATTTTCTACGTTAATCGTGAGCAAATGCCTATTCGAGGAATGAGACTTGCGAACTGCACAGTGCAGTGTGTGCTTCCGAAAATGCCAGAATCGTTAGAAGGAATTCAACAAAACGAGAGTTTCCCGATCGGCGCACACGATCCTCCACCACATCAGTGTCATTTCTCGACCGAAGGCTTGGTACAAGACCCGGATTATTTGCATCAACTCAAAACCGAATTCTACTCAGTTATGAAGAACATGAAAAGAATTCGAGCTGAGGAGGTTGCCAGAGCAGAGAGTGATATCACTGCTTTGATGGGACAAAATCTTCTGGGAGATGCGATGGAAACCGATGATAACGATGGATCAGACAAGAGAAAAAGAGCTGGATTAGATAATGAAGGAGAGCCAGAAACGAAAAAACGATGCTGAAATTGTTTTCCTTTTCGCCGTCACTTCCCAAGCACCTTGTCATTCTCTTCTTGAGATTTACTTTTTTACCCAGATTAATCAATTATGTAAATTACCTAATACTGGTCACCTGGAATCGGATCTCGATAATTTTTCCTGAAACAATTCACCATCATTTTCCATAACCTTATATGAATCCCTAACCAATAAACACTTATAATTTAAATTTATTATATTATTTTGTTCTTTGTAATAACCCGAAAAGCGAAACGGAGGGAGGAATGATATAATGTAACAGAAAAATATGGTACTTAAAGATAATAAAAGTTGTAATCACATTAAAGGAGGGATCTGGGCACTTGGACCTATATATCATTCTACGAAAATGTTAACATGTCTAGAATTTGAACTCTTTGGATATTCCGACTAGGACAGCTCCGGTGATCGTAATCGACATGGCTGCTCCGAGCAACAGGAAATTACGCTTTCCGTGGATTTCTCTGTAATAGAAGATGCTCCAAGCGGCAGCAACACATCCAGGCATTTGTGAGATGATTGGGAATGTAACAGCTGATGAGAGGTGTTGGTTAGCGACGAAGAAAGAAGTTTGAGCGATCGCCCAGAAGCATCCAGCTGCCATTCCGGGAAGGAAGAGATTTGGAGGAGCGTATGGTTGGTTTCTTCTGAAAAATCACATGTTTCATGGCTAGTCCGGCAAATAAAAGCAAAACTCGTACCTGAAAATTGAATAAATTACGAAAATAATTGTAGACGTGATGAAGATTCCAAAGTAATGTGAAAAGACGTACGACAGTCCATCTTTTGGATATCCAACGTAGCTGAAAGTAATTCATAGGACAATCAGACTCGCGATCACTTACAGATCCTCGTTGTCGATCATACGAATCACTGGAACAAATGTCATTCCGTAGAAGACACCAGCAATCAATGCGGTGATGAAAGCCCTGAATTTCGAACATTTAATACACAAAACCATTTGACCTAAACTCACATCAATCGTTGTGATCCAGAGTTCAAATCTTTCTTCGGCTTTATAATTTCGGTGTCAAGACCACCGTCATCGGAAGACTCTGTCGTATTCAGCGCTTTCTTCTCTTCGGAATTCAAGTTTTCCATGTCAAACGAAGCACGATTTGACTTTTTTGAAGAAGCAGAAGAAACGGGTTCAGATTTCACTTGAGCGAAGATCGATCCACCGATAATAACGAAGATAAGTCCGAGGTAGTTGAGATACGGAGATGCTGGTACTTGAGGTTTCATTCCAAACAATCCAAATCGGCCACCAGCCCATCCTGTCAAACAGTTAGAAGTGTTCCAGATGAGAATGGAAACAGCGAGGCCGAGACGTTGAATGATAGGAATGGCGGTAGCGTTTCCTGAATATCTGACAACGTTGTAAACCGGATATTTAGTACCATGATAATTACCAATACACCAGGATGCTCCTCCAAGCATGGCCAACGGATAGAATCCAATGAATCCAGTGTACGCGAACACGACAAAACCCACCAACAGAATCGCAATCGACATCATCCATTGCGCGAAAATTCCTGGAAAACGAATTCCGAATGTTAAAAAATTCTTTTTATATTATTATTACCATCTCTTGTGTCGTACGATTTGACTGGGACAAACATGGAACCGAAGAAAACAGACGACACGGCACAAGCCGTGTATCCGATCGCCGACATCTTTCTAACTGAAAATTTACAGAGAATAACAAGAAAGTGATTCATCCCAGATAAGACTTTTTCTATAATTTTTAGTATCAGCACTTGGGTTCAAGCGAGGGGGTCAGAAAGCGCGCCCCAGCAAACTCGTAGGCCAGAAGAAATTTAATAATTTTAAAGTGGACACGGGTTTGATCTAGATCATGATCTATTTCTTCAAAATCAACTGGTTGCAAGGCGCGCTTTTTCGCTCTTCATTTAAAACTGTGAAACTCAGCCAACGAAATTCGGCAGCGAATTTAAAACTTTTCCTAAATTTACTGGGGCGCGCTTTCTGACCCCCTCGCTTGAACCCAAGTGATATCAGGGATGTTCAAAACGGAATTCGTAAAAATCTGAAAGGTTTTTTGAAATTAGAGCTTTTTGGACTATGATATGTTAAAGGCGCATGCGAAAAGCTTCTTGTGGGTTTCGAGCGGAATTATTTTTACCATTATTTCTTTCGTTTTCGAAATTGGCTTGTCAATTTTCCGCCTATTTTATAGGAAAGTGAGGGATTCCGAAAATCTAAAATTCCAGCATTTTAAAATTCGAAATATTCCGAAATTGAAACTCGGAAATTTCGGCATTCCGAAAATATCCGAAAATTTTGAACATCCCTGTTTATAGCAGAAAGAAATGCGAACAGGAATTCGTTGCAATTTCGAACGCAATTAAAGAACATATGTGTGAATCGAGGAAAAGTAGACGTTGACTAAGAAAAAAGTGCGATTTCTGTTCGATTTTTGAGATAGATTTGACAGATATCATCTTATTGCGGTGAAAAACGTTGCAGATTTGTTGCGGAGGTAAAATCGTCAAGGTTAGAAGGAACAGAATGTAAAAGAAAAGCGGCGAATCAATGAAACAAAACATCCACCTACGGATATATGATGCGAGCTATAGCTCTATAGAAACTGTGCTGCGGGGGAGTTTGTAAATTTAAATTGCAACTTTCACTTGTTTTTTTTTAACAAAGTTGTTTACTGATAAGGGGAATCATGTCTGATTAAATGATACAAACCACATGTTAAACCCGGAACACTTTGTATTTTTTTAAAACTAGTTCGCAAATTTACAGAGGCATTGTGAAGATTCTTCACATGTTTTACATTATTAAAAAAAAAGAAAAAGAAAGTTTTTATGTGGCAAAAGTGAGTGGCGACATGGCGGTCTTGTGCCGCTCTTTTTTCATATTTACACGGTTAGAGTCTGACTGTCTACAGAGAAAATAGGAGAGACGCAGAGAAAGAAGAGGTGTTGAGCAAAGTGGAGATATAAGCTTCCAAGGCGATTGTTATTCTATTCGGTTGGTTTTGTTATGAAGGGAAATGTGGTCTTCGATATTTAATAAATATACCAACAGACACCTGTAATGAAACAAAATCGGTGACAAACAAGTGGTTGACTAATACAATATTTTGTACGAGAAATCAGAAAAATTCTTCAGTGAAATCTGTCAGATTCCGGTACAAACTCATGAAAGGGAGTGTCACTGAATCAAAAGTTATGAAATAACCTGCAGAGACTGAAAGCTCGCCCCGCCTACTTCTCAAATTTCAAACATTTCCGTTTGAAATAAACATTTTGTGTGGGTAAATGAGACAAAACGGAAACGGATCCACCTTTTCTCTGAAAAATGTCATCATGAGCGGTCAATGGACAGTTGAAAAACCTGAAAAAATTATGGAAATTCCGAGATTCAGGCGATCATGGAGGTAAATATACAGAAGAGAAGGATTATTGGTCACTGTAACTACCGTAAACACTCTAATAGAAGGCGACCCTACACTTGGACTTTGAGCTCAATTATCTCAATTTCTAAAAGAGATATGAAAAATGTGTCAACTAATAAAATCTTGTTGGTATTTTGATAAACATTTTGTCGGTTGATCACTTTTGATACCTGTTACAGGAACCGGGATATATGAGATCAAAGTACAAGTAATATATCGTGGTCTTATATTACAGTGTTTACGGTAAATGGAACTAATAAGAGGTGCAAAACGGCGAAAATTAATACGAAATTCAAGTATTGAAACTAAATAACTCACTCTACCTGCTTCTAGACTACCCCGAACTTCGATTGCCGACTTCACATGCAGTTACGATTTGAGCTTCCTGAAAAATTAAAATTGCAGTTGATTCAGATTTTTGAATGCAAAGCGAAAAGGTGTCTTAATACCGAGAAACATCGCGGGAATTGAAGGAAAAAATTGTGAAAAAAAAATCAGTAAGGCAAGAGCGCTATGGAATTACAGTAATCTCTGTAGAAAATCTGGAAGCGAAACAAAAAATAATCTGAAAAATAGAATAAATACTGAAAGCAAAAAATATTTGACTATAGATTTTCTGGGTCATAATTGCTCGCAGAGTACCGTTCCCAGAACTTCGTTCTTAAAAAGATTTTGGAAAATTCAGGAAATAACATCCCTATAATCTTCGTCCGTTTTCTCTTAAGACCTATTTCTTTCTTTTCAATTATCCAATTTACATATTTATCGTCTCAAATCCTCGTACCAATCCCAGGGTAAAACCATTAAAAATGCGCGAGTCGTCGTCGTCTGGACCACCAGAAGGGTCGTTGTTTCGTCAAAAGAGAGAAAAGAGAACGGGTCAGAGAGCGGAAGGAAAGAAAGAAAGCTCATTTTCTTTCAACTAAATGCGTCTCTGTCTCTGTCACTCTCCTCACTTCGCACACTCTCTAATTGAGCTCCCACTTGCCATCTGTCAGAGGGACCCACTCAGTTCCAAGGAACTCCCACTGACTTCCTTTTGTTCCTGGCTTTCAAATACTGTTTGCTTGTTTTACAATTAGGAAGATTTTGACTTTGAGGCCGGTTTTTTTGTTTTTTTTTAATGAATTCCCGTTTCTAGCTGTTATTTTTCTACAAGAAATGTAAGCTGTTCTTAAATACAGTTTCTAAACCTGGTGTTATATGTTTTACTTTTACTTTTATTTTTCTTCTACAATAAATCGGAGCTGTGGAAGAGAGGTGGCCGTGGCCTAAGGTCCCACAACGACAGCTACCGTAACCTAAAAATGTGGTTTTTTTGGATTTATTATCTCGATTTTCGCGCTTCAATTTTCCTACGTATTCGGGGAAAAATAACAAAGAAATTGACGAAAATTAGTTTTTAAAAAATTTAAAAAATGCTTTTAGGTTAGTTTTTCAATAAAAATACTTTTAGATCACTGTAGTTATCTCTCTGGGACCTTCGGCTACGGCCGGCCACCGGCGTTTCTCTATTTCACAGCTCCGATTTTTGTGCCAGCAAAATATTGACTTCCATTATTTTTACAAAAATTTCAACAATAAATTAGCTTTATTTTCTAATGGGGTTATTCAGGTGAGGCAAAAACCTGAAAAACAGCGAGAAACTCAAAGAATGAACCAATCTGACCGAAGTTTAGAGGGAAACTGGAGAAAACTATAACTGCCAAAATGCCAAAATTTGGGGTGAAAATATCCTATTTGAAAAATTGGCTGGAGTTTTTTTCGCTGAGATTTTTGCTATTTTTGGTTTTTCGCCGATTTTTTTTTGCCTCGCCTGAATAGCCCCATAAGATAAATTGCAAAAATAATTCAATCGAAAATCAGAAATCGAGATGTTTATTCAAATTATTCACATGTTCAGCAATACAAAGTTCTTCGGAATTCCATTGACACCATTGATACCAAGCTGCATGAACTGACGATCGAACGGGCAACGAAGCGAGTTGGTGTTCTGGTTGATGAAGTTTCCAGCACAGTCTGTACATACCGTATGACCGCATCCTGAAATATTCAAAATATTTAATATTGAACCGATTTCTTGAACTCACTCAAAACTCTGGGAACTCTTCCAGCTTCTTCTCCAAATTTGAATGCACAAATTTCACAGACTCTCCAAGGAAACGGTCCATTTCTCTCTTCCCAATTGTTCGTGTACTTTCTGCACTCTTCAAGATAGTCGTCTCGATATTTCTTTCCAATCTGTCTCTCCTTATTCATTGCTTCCTCAAACTTATCATGATCTTTACATTCTTCAATTTGTAATTGAAGCTCTCCAATCGTCTTTTGTTGCGTCTCGGCCAGTACCGTAGTCCGATCCATCAGATTCTTCACTTCCTGATCCAGTTCCGTCACTCTTTGATTGTCAATTTCGGTCATTGCCAATCGGTGTTGTAACACCTCTCCAGACCTTTGTTCAGCTAGCAAACGAGCTCGAGTAGACGACAACGTCTTCTGCATCCGCTTCAATTTTTCCTTCAGTACTTCATTTTCCGATTTCTTTGGTACTTGAGGAATTCTTGGTATAGGAGAAGAAACAGCGGCGGCGGTTGCTGATCTGGTTACAATTGATCTGGTTACAACTGTTGCCACTGGTTTCTTCTTTTCCTTTTCGATTTGAGCGATTCTTTTGCTTCGACGCAGAGCCATTACCTAAAGATTAGTTGTGAAATCCTACAGTAGTTGAAAAATTAGTCATACGAGTATTTCCTGTTGTCCGTTTTCTGTGGGACAGGGGGTGTGGCTTGTGGTTGGCCCGTTTCGCCACAGATTCCAGAAAAATAGTTCACGTATCCCGTAGGCGTAAAAAATTAGCGCGGTGGAAGAGAAAACAGTGGCCGAATTTCCCGGAAGGAGAACTGCAGTAACCTAAAAATGTTCTACATTAAAATATTCTCATTTCCGATTGTTTTTCCCTACAGTAATCCATTTCACTTTCGAATATTCCCAACTACAGTAATCCTTTTGAATTTCAAATATTTTCCCGTACAGTAATCATTTCGATGTTCGATATTTTTTCTCCATAGTAAACCCTTTGATTTTCGAATATCTTTCCTAGAGTAATCCATTCAATTTTCGAATATTTCCACCTACAGTAATCCTTTTTATTTTCGAATGATTGAAACCACAGTAATTCTCTTCATTCTTAAATATTCCCACCTACAATAATCATTTTAATTCTAGAATGATTCCACATAGAGTAATACTTTCCATTTGCTAACATTTTTCTTTACAGTAATCCTTTTCGTTTTCAAATCTTAATTTCTACAGTAATCTTTTTTCCACTCTCGAGTGTTTCTTTCAGTATTAGATGCTCCTTTATTTCTTACTCACCTAAAAAGACTAGAAATCATAAACTACTCTTTTTTTCAGACAATGGGGAATAATGCAACATTTCTCCACTTTATGCATCGATTCATTTTCTGGATTCTTTTCGCAATGGTGACTTGCTTCGTTTTACGAATACTGTAAGTTATTCCGAATTTCCGAAAAAATGATTCCAAAAATTTTCAGAATAGTGTTGGATCTCAACAAACGAATATACAACCATACGCCCGGTCCATGCAGAGTGTTAACTGAAAAATGTATTTTTTTTTTCTGAAATCCCTCTGAAACATAGAACCCAAAATTTTTCCAGACAAAGGAACTGCTGGCTTGACTTTTGTGGAATCCCAGAAGAGAGTTTACGTTACTCTTGGATATGGAAAATCCCATAATATGACTACAAAAACTGGAATTGCATTTTATAATACAAATAGGACAGATGGGAGGAGTCAACAGGAAATGCATGATTTGATAGAGATGACAATTAACTGGAATGGTTACGAACATCAGGTTAGATGAAGTCCTTGATTCTTTAAACTTTTTCAAAAATTGGGAATTCAGAATCTCTTCATTCCAACTGGAATTGATTCTTTCTCATCTTCAAACGGTCGTATTCTTCTTTATGTCATAAATGCTCACCCGGATCATCAATGTATTCATTTCTTCCAAGTGGACAATCAAAAGTTAAACCATCGAAAATCAGTTTGTGATTCTTCGTTTACTAGTTTACAAGATCTAGCGGTCGTTGGGCCAGATCGGATATTCTTCACAAATATGGCCGCATTTGGAAGAGGATGGGCTCAAGTAGTGGAGTTTGCCTTGCAGGTACATAAGTTTACAATCTTGTGAAAATCTCTATCGACCAACTGATCTATTTTAATAGAATGTCTTTATATGGCACCCCGGAAACAGAACAACATTTCAGACGGGTCAAGGAGTTGTGTATTACTACGACGGTTCAAAACTTTCGATTGCTGCTCCAACTGTAAATGCACCAACTGGAATCGGCTATGATTCGAAGAGAAGAATTTTGTATGTGGGATCTTTAATTAGAGAAGTAAGTCAAAAACTACCTGTTTCAAATATGGGTTAAGTGACAAACTGAAAGGTGTTAGCTATTCATGCTCTGAACTTCTTTTCAGTCCTTACTCGCCTACAAAGTCGCCAAGGACATGTCTCTGGACTCAATGTATGAAATGATGTTGCTCACTTCTCCGATTGGTTTATTCGTTGAATCGAAATCTGGAGACGTCTGGATTGCTGCCCATCCGGTTCTGCATGAATCCGCGTGGCATTATTCAAATCCAGAGAGGAAAAATGTTCATTCGTCGAGTCAAGTTTTAAGGATCAGGATACAGGTTAGATATTATAATTTGTACAGAGTTGTAAATTACTCGGACAAGCATAAAAATCGATAGAAATATAAATTTAACGTTTGACTAAAAGCTACTGAAGTTTTCAAAGCGATTCCTCAAGCCTAGGTATAGTTATGATTGTCCAAAGATGAAATGTTTATTGCACGTCGTTGTGTTTTTCATGAAACGAATCAAATTTGACAAGCGATAACTCAGCTCAAAGTTGTTTTATGTTAGCTTTAGTCCCGGTAATTATGCGCAACCCTGTAGCACTAAAATAATGCCAGATACTGAGACTCTTTGATCAAATTATTTTGAAGTTTACGCCCCCCGTCGGGGGCTCAACCTCCTGGCTTCCGCTTTCTGTATCTTACAATTTAATTTCTAATTTAAAAATATTCGAGTTTCCGAATTCACCAAAATTTGTGAAAGTTTTGCATACTCAATTTTCTTTGAGGAATATTTGATTTCCCAAATTTCCAAAATTTCCAAACTACTGAAAAAATATTTTTTGTTGTTGTGAAATCCGGAGTATGTGAACTACCGGTTCCCTGAAGTTTCAAATTTTGGATAACTAATGTCAGGTTTACTAAACTTTCTGGTCTCCGAAAATTCTGAATTTCTTAATTTTCGAATTTTGAAAAACAGTCAGCCCCTCCGGGCTGAGCCTCCTAGCTCCCGCTACAGTACTCGTTGTCTTATAGACAGGTTTTTTCATTTTTCCAGGGACTATTTTTTCATGGTCTGTTAGGAAATTTCGAAATTCGATATTTTGGTTATTTAGGATTCCTAGAATTCGGAAAGTCGGAAGTAAGAAAATCCGGAAATTGAAAATGTAAGACACTCGCAAGTTCAGAGATTAGTAAATTTTTAATTATCAGATGTGGGAAAACATTAATTTTGAAATCTAGAAAAGTGTTTCAATCTGTATGTCTGAAATACCCAAATTTTGGTATATCAGATTTTAAGGAATCGGAAAATTCAGATTTTTGCATACTTACTAAAGGGGCTGGCCTGAAACGGCACTGTTCGCAAAATTTATAGAATTTCGAAAAAGTTTAGAATCGAGAATTTGAGAACCTGAAAAATTAGAAATTCATAAATTCAACTTTTCGAAACACAGTCTCGTCGAAAAGTTTTTGGAACTTCGGAAAATCGGAAATGTAGATTTCAGAATTCGAAAACTCCAAATTTCGAAAATTTAGACATTCCGAACATTGAAAACCGGAAATGTTGGAAAATCTGAAACTTTGAAATTTTTTGGCATATTCGGTGAATAAGATCTCAGAAATTTATATATTCCGAAATTTGAAAGATATGAAATTAAATTCGGAAATTTTAAAAATTGTTCTAATTCTGAAAAATCGAGTGATCAGAAAGGGCGCTGTTATTTTCCCTCGCATTCTGTTTCTTTCTTTTTTTTCCTTTTTTTTTTCTTTCTTTTCCACTGTTTCAGAATTTTTTCTCCCTTTCAAATCTTTAAAACCCATGCTAAAAGAATATTTCCACAAAATCCTTGCTCTCAAATATAGCGTGGATAAGAAAAACATTTGGGCGGTTAGACGGAAATGACGTGAATATTTCTTCAATATTTTTCTAAAAATTTGCACTGTAGAAATAGAAGAACGTCTCCAGAAGACGTCAGACACAAAATTTCGAAAGATTAAATATTCGGGAATCATCTCACTGCTATTTCGGGTAATCTGTTAAAATTTGGGAAAATTTGGTTCATTCTGGACTTCGTTAGGGAAAGTGATACGGGAACAAACGGACACACTCACACACAGAATTTGGTGATTGTTAATAGTAAAGATTATTCTTACAAGGGAGTTACTTGAGGGAGCAGTTTTAACTTTTTGAAATTTTGGGAGCAGATAGAAGAGCTTATGAGAATTCCAAATCTGTCAAAAAAATCAGCAAAATGCTCACGTGAGCTGAGTTATGACCTAGAAAAGTTTCCCTATTATTAAGCAATTTCTCGTGAAATTTTTTTCACGTAATAGTGTATTTCTTTTAAAACAATAAATTTCAATCAGCAGTGTGATAAAGTGGTAAAATGGCAAGTTCAGAGGAGGAAGGTTGTAGGTTCAATTCTCCCTATCCCAAAAATTTTGCAAAATTTTTTTGTTTTATTTTAAGCTGTCATAACTGGCTCTGGAATAAAATTTACGCAATCTAAACATGTTTTTCGGGAGTTTCTCGTTATGAATAGGCATTTTCCAGAATAAAAACAGACATTTAATTTTTGAAGAAATTCACAAGTATGCTCATGGGTTCATCGAAGATTTTCCAAAAAATTTTTTCAATTTTTTTTTTGTTTTTTTATTGAAAAAAAAACAGTTGAGGATTCTAAACACATCGGTGGCATTCGATGACAAACTGCTGAAAACATATGTTCTTGGCACAATACGCACCATTGACAATCTTTTGCACCCAGATAATTGGCACTTTCCATAATCTTTCCGGTCGAAGCAATATTGAATTGGTCTGTCACATTTCGGAGCGCAACTGTCCACATAACCGCCAGAATACCAGGCATATTGTCTCCATTCTTGGAAGATGGGAGAGCACATCTGGCAATATGCTTGGCTCAGCATCTGCAATCAAAAAATGAGAGACGTTTTCGGGAAAAAAAAAATTTCAAAAAAAATTGAAAAAATTTTTTGGAAAATCTTCGATGAACCCACGAGCATATTTGTGAATTTCTTCAAAAATTAAATGTCTGTTTTTATTCTGGAAAATGCCTATTCATAACGAGAAACTCCCGAAAAACATGTTTAGATTGCGTAAATTTTATTCCAGAGCCAGTTATAACAGCTTAAAATAAAACAAAAAATTTTGCAAAATTTTTGGGATAGGGAGAATTGAACCTACAACCTTCCTCCTCTGAACTTGCCATTTTACCACTTCACCACACTGCTGATTGAAATCTATTGTTTTAAAAGAAATACACTATTCCGTGAAAAAAATTTCACGAGAAATTGCTTAATCATAAGGAAACTTTTCTAGGTCATAACTCAGCTCACGTGAGCATTTTGCTGATTTTTTTAACAGATTTGGAATCCTCATAAGCTCTTCTATCTGCTCCCAAAATTTCAAAAAAAGTTAAAACTGCTCCCTCAAGTAACTCCCTTGTTCGTTTCTAAGAAAAAAAGTAAAGTTTTGCAAAATTCGTTTGCCAAAAATTAAAAAAAAACTTTCAGGAGGGACGCTTCAGACACACACTCAAAACCTGTTAGAAGGACCCCTACACTATTACGTTTGAGCGTAATTATCTCTATTCCTATGCAAGATATCAGAAATGTGTTAACTAAAAAATGTTTGTGGTGCTATGATAAACAATTTATCAGTTGACATTTTTTTGATATCTGCGACAGGAGCCGAGATAAAATAGCTAAAATTTCAAAAGTTAGGGAGCCTTTCTATTACAGGTTTTATTGCATGTTTTTCCTTTTCTGTGAAACATGCCCAGTCAAAGTTTTTGTCAAAGAAATCAACCCATCATGTTTCATTTTGTGACTTAATTTTGCGATTCGCTGCTCCCTGTCGTAAAACTGTCAGAAAAATGCTAACCGAGCACTTTGTCCTCATAAACATGTTTCTCACTTCATCAACAACTCTCTTATCAGTTAATTCTCTTCGCGTTTTCTTATCTTTTACGCCTAAACATCTCAATGAATTTGAGGAGCTCTCTGAAAAGCGCCAAAAAAACCAAAAATCACAATTTTCAGGAAGAAGGAAATTCATGGGTAACAACGGAACCGTATGCAAATGATGGAGCAACAATTTCGGCGAGTTCTGCAATTGCTTATACGGATGATCAAATGATAATTGGAAGCTCGTTTGGTCGATTATTGCACTGCGATTTGACGAATTCTCATATTACATAATTCAAACTGATAGCGTTGTTATGCTCAAAAATCCAATGATCTTGTTTTGATATGTTCTAGTTTTTCCTGTGTTCCATATTGCCAAAAAATATGTACATTATTGTGTGTGCGAAACGTCGTATCTGATTTTTTATGAAGTTCGGAAATTCTGAAATTTGAAATTCTGAAGACCTGAAATTCTAATTCTGAGTTTCTGAAATTCTGAAGTCCTGAAACTGGGAAATTCCGAAGTTCTGAGATTCAGAAATTCAAAAATTCTGAAATTCTGAAGTTCTGAAATTCTGAAATTCTGAAATTCTGAAATTCTGAAATTCTGAAATTCTGAAATTCTGAAATTCTGAAATTCTGAAATTCTGAAATTCTGAAATTCTGAAATTTTGAAATTCTGAAATTCTGAAATTTTGAAATTCTGAAATTCTGAAATTCTGAAATTCTGAAATTCTGAAATTCTGAAATTCTGAAATTCTGAAATTCTGAAATTCTGAAATTCTGAAATTCTGAAATTCTGAAATTCTGAAATTCTGAAATTCTGAAATTCTGAAATTCTGAAATTCTGAAATTCTGAAATTCTGAAATTCTGAAATTCTGAAATTCTGAAATACTGAAATTCTGAAATTCTGAAATACTGAAAATCTGTAAACTTGAAAGCGTGAAATTCTGAAAATCTGAAATACTAATTCTGAACTTTGAAAACCTGAAATTCTGAAAATTTGAATTCCTAAAATTCTAAAAATCTGAAACTCCGAAATTATGAGAATCGGGAATTCTGAAGTCCTGAAATTCTAATTCTGAGTTTCTGAAATTCGGAAGTCCTAGAACTGTGAAATTCCGACGTTCTGAGATTCAGAAATTCTGAAATTCTGAAATGCTGAAATTCTGAAAATCTGAAAAACTAATTCTGAATTTTGAAAACCTGAAGTTCTGAAAATTTGAATTCCTAAAATTCCAAAAATCTGAAACTCCGAAATTATGAGAATCGGGAATTCCGCAGTTCTGACATTCTGAAGTTCTGAAATTCCGAAGTTTTGAAATTCTGAAATTCTGAAATTCTGAAATTCTACATATGAAAATCTTAAAATCTTAAATTCCGAAGTTTAGAAGTTTCGAGATTCTGAGATTCTGAAAAAAAAATGGAATTCTGAATTATTTTTTTCCACAAATCAGTAACACATGCTGAAATTAAAATTTGATTCTAATATTTTTCAGAAGAATCTAGATTCACAGATCTCGAGATTATATCTCGTTCTCATAGAAACCACTAATCTGCAACTAATGGTTTCTTTTATGAAACTAATGATAAGTGCGTTTGCTGAAACATATTTTTTCATTCAAAAAATTACTTTATTTCAATCAAAATGTTTTTTCAATACATTATAAAATAGGCAAGAAATCTATTCTCTGGTGTATTCACGACGAGAAACAACGGATCCAGCCTGGAGAGTTGTGATGAGCTTGTCTCCTTCCATATAACGAGTGATAGTTGACTCGACCTTTCCGTCCTTCTTTTGGGTGTGAACGAACTTTCCGTTCTCGAAAACGACAACTGATTGGACGGTACGGCCATCTGGGGTGGTCTCGTTGAATTCCTGAAAAAATTCAATTTCAGAATTTGCATCACATTGCTCGTTAATCAGTGATTTATGGTTTACGCTGGAAATCTTTCCAGAAATATGTTACCACCTGTCACTTGGCAATGACCATAAATTATTAAAAAATTTCTATGTTTCTGAATTGCGGTGAATAAAAAGTTAATTAAAATGATTTTGCTCACAGTTATGAACATCTTTTTTTTCCAATAAGGGTCCCATTCTGTCCAGAAATTTAGTCGACCGACCGACCGCCGACCGAATCCGAGCATTTTCACTTACATATGTCAGAAAGTGTTACGCAGCATTTTAATATACGACGGACGAAGAATTTTTAAAATTCGTGAATTTCAATACTGCGGACGCAAGCACTCTCTGACATGGTGACGCGTAAATGCACGAATTCGGTCGGCTGCTGGTTGGCTGGGTCTACGGTCGCTCGCCAATTTTCGACCGACAGAGAAGGAAAACTTATTCTCGATTTCTATAGAATCTCTTACCTCTCCCAACTTGAAGGAAAGAGTGGTGTTCTTAAAGGTGGAATATTGGTTTGAGTGCCAGACATCTCCCTCGACCTTGATTTCCAAAGTTGGCTTCAAATTGGCAGCAGCCTTGCGGGTGATCAATCCAACTCCGACTTCCTTCATGTACTCCTCGAAGTTCTCGGAGTGAACGAGCTTCCAGCGGCCGACGAATTCTTGGGACATGATTGGTTCTGAAAATACATTTTGTTAAAATATGAAAAAAAAAAAAAGAAGTGGGAATGTATGGCAATGCCGTTTTGTTTCGAGAACGATTTGTCTTTTGGTGGCCTGATAAAATGGACTGATAACAGGAGAAGGGAGAGTGGGCGGAGTCACTTTCCGCGATTTTTCTCTTTTTTTTTCTCGCTAATGGTTTTTCATGAATTATTTTTTGTTGTTGCATTGCATCAGAAATAAATTTGTGTATAAAGGAACAAAGTTCACTAAATGAACATTTTTCAGAGTAATGGATACTGTAGGGGAAAATGCTGGAAAATCGGAAGGATTACTGTGTAGGAAAAACTCGAAAATAAAAAAGATTACTGTAAGAGAAAAGTATTTTAAATCAAATGGACTACTGTAGAGAAAAATTTTCAAAAACGGATTACTGTAGTGAAAAATACCGTAAACACTCTAATAAAATGCCTAAAAAATATCAAAAATATGAATTTTCAATTTTGATATCAAAAAGTGGTCAACTGACAAAATGTTTATCATAAAATCATCAACATTTTATTAGTTAATTACTTGTTGATATCTTTCATAGGAGCCGAGATATATGTTCTCAAAGTCGACGGTTTAGCTGGCGTTCAATGTTTACGGTATTTAAAAATGAAACGGATTACTGTAGGGAATAATATCTGAAAATCAATGAGAGAACATAATTGTTCTCATGAAAGCAAAAATGATCAGAAAATGAGGTGGAGAGAAAAATGAACAAACAATTCGTATTTTCCCATTGTTGACTTTTCGAAAATCATTGATCTTTGATCGACCAATATTTCAAAAGAACTTTCGTCATACTAAAAAATTGATTTCAGTCAAAACCAAAAAAAGGCCTTATAAACCGACTGATTTGGGTATGACCAGGTCATTCAAAAACAACAAAAATGTTAGAAAATAATAGAATACAGGTTGTCACAACCAGTTTCACTTCAACAACCATCACACATAGAGTAAACAATAACAATTTCAATGGGGCACAGTTTATCGAATGAGAAATATTGTAAATCAAAAAAGAAGAGAGAATCTATTCACGGATGTATGCACGACGAGAGACAACAGATCCAGACTGAAGAGTTGTGATGAGTTTCTCTCCTTCGAACCAACGAGTGATCACCGAATCGTGATCGGATTCCTTGACTTTTTTCTGTCTGTGGACAACCTTTCCGTCCTCAATTGTGATTGTCGACTTGAATTGACGGCCATCTGGAGTTGTCTCGTCGAATTCCTGGAATGCAATTGATTTTATTTAAAAAATCATAATTGAAACATTTTAGTAGTACTCGACTGATTTTTTGCAAAAAACATACTGTTACACCTGGGAAGTTTTCGAAAATAATTTTAAAACAATTTGATCAGTTATCTTCATAGGATTGAAAAATGGCTTTCTAACTAGGGAAGACCCCAACTCGGGTGTGGCGATACGGGTAGTGACCTATATCATCTGAAAGCTGACATTTTCCTGATTCCAAATCTAGAAAAAAAATAGTAAGGAATTACTGTTTTATGAATAAGTTATACTTCCGGGATTGCACATTTAAAGTCAATCAAGAACTTTCTATACCATAAAAAATATGAATTTTCAATTTTTTTGTATTTTCCTAGTATTATTGCGAAAATGTTTTTGAAATCCGAAACACCCTATAAACGCCGTTGAAAATTGAAAACTTAAAAAAAAAAGATTCCGAGGAGGGACGACGATTTGCAGTGAGAAACCTAGGCCACGACGTCTGGGAGCATTCCTACATGGTACAATTTTAGTCATTTTTTTATCTCATGCACGTAAAAACTACTGTCGGTCATTTTCAAAAATCCGACCCACTGCCGTGGCCTGGGTTTCTCACTGTGCGGGAACTGAAACACTCGTCCCTATTCACCCTTTTTTTGAAAGATTTGGGTTTTTTCGAATGTTTCGAAGTAATATTATGATAAACATCTTATGCAAAAAAATTTTGGTCGGAGTAATTTCCTCATTTTTAAATGAATTTTTGCGAAAATTGCTGTTTCTCTAGAAAAATAATAAAAATAGTTTCAAAATTATATTTGATCACAAGTTCTCAATCGGATTGTATCAAATGTTTCAGTGTTATAAGTTATATATTATGCTTGTCTGAGAAAAAAAAGGTTGAGACGCAGAGAAAAAGTGTCTGCGTCTCCACCGTTTGTGTGCTATTTAGGCTCTCCGCTTCGATATCGCTACCGTATTCAGACTGCAAAAAATACTCTCTAACCTTTTTTTTTCGCAGACAAGCATAATAGCCTACAACTGAAATCGACAGTTCAAAAAAATACTCTCCAAGAAATTACTGTTTCTTGCTCAAAGTAAACATCCGTGGTTACATATTAATAGTCGATTGAATGTTGTGAACAGTCATTAACACAATTTCGCTAACTTCTCTACTATAACCCATAGAACCCTCAGTTACACTTTGTCCTATCCATTTGGATACAAAGTTCACTCGTTCTTTCTTCTTTTCATGATACCTTTCCTCTGTGTTGACATACTACAACGCCACGTGTGCCAGTTGCCCTGTGACCCACTATTTCTATTATCACTTTTTGAGAAAAAAGTTTCCGAGTAGTTCGGTTCAACACTAAAGATCATATAAATTCGAAAGTTCTGGGCTAGTGAAATGAAGAAATATGTAGAAATTTGAAAGGGGAACCTAATTTTTCATTTTGAGCCAATTTTTATCAAGTCCTGTCAAAGCTATAAAAAGTTGTAAACTGATAAATTGATTATCATAATATAGACATATTTTGTTAGTTGATACATTTTTGATATCTTGCATAGAAATTAAGATAACTGAGCTCAAACTTGACAGTGCGGGGAATCTTTTTGCAGGTTTTCAGGTAATTGAATTTCTATTTCAAAAAATCAACAATCTCGAAACCAATTTTCAAAAAACTCACTACTCCCAAAGTGAAATCCAGGGTAGTATTCTTGAAAGTGCTGAGTTGATTCACATGCCATCTATCTCCTTCAACCTTGATTTCCAAAGTTGGCTTGGCAGCACAAGCGGCTTTTCGGAGGATCAAACCGATTCCAACCTCCTTCAGATAATCCTCAAAGTTCTCGGATTCGACGAGCTTCCAACGGCCAATAAACTGTTCGGCGGACATTCTGGAATTTTCGGAAACTTTATGGGGAAATTGTGGAAAAAGGAAGTAAAGCAAAACACTTGTCAAAAGAAAGGAAAAGTGCATAGAATTGGGGAAACTGGAAAATGTATTTATAGGTGGTACTTTCTAGGGGAGGTGGAAGAACACGAGGCTTGTTTGATTGCCACGTAATGGACAAGTTGGTCAATTGTTGGTCAAAGGAATGGGAATGATAACAGAATACACTAAGATGGAGTCTAGTATAAACAAGAAGAAACATGCAGAGAACGGAATAGATGATAAATGTGCCAAGTTCTTGAAATGGTTCTTTTTTTCTCACAATGATTCATTTCTAGCTGAACAAATATATGTACTTAATTGTAGCCTTGACTTAGTGTTCGAAAAACAAACTCCAAAGTCAGAAAACCAGAAACTTGTTTTCTAGAAATCACACAATATTGTGGTTTGCCTCCTGACTCATCTTCACTGTTTACATTGGTCGTGAAAATGTTTCCAAAGTTATTTATTTTCATAATATTACTTTGAAAATAATTCAGGAAAAAATCAAAATCCCTAATAACGCTGTAGAAAGTGCAAGTTCTCGTCCAAGAGGGTCGCGGGAATTTTAGTCCAAGACCACTGTGTAGGCTGTTTTTAATTTAATTTTTCAGGATTTTTCGCCGTTTCAGGTCGTTCTCTTTTGTAATTGTTAGAAAATTGAATTATTCCACTAAAATCTCGATGAATAGAACAAAAAAATCTCGTTGACCTCATGGCTGAAAAATTGGATGAAAAACTTGGACGAGAACTGATCGCGCATGAATTTTCGACGGCGTTTTCAGGGATTTCGAACTTTTTCCTGAATTTTTTCGAATTGACAGTACGAAAATACATAACTTTGGGGACATTTCAATGCAAAAAAATTGCTTGAAGTCACCCTTCAACTTGTTCGTAACTTATTCCAGAAATCTCAAATTGGGACGCTACAAACAAAAAATTATTAAAAAGTCCAAAGAAGGTGTTACTAAAAAATCGCGTTGTTTGTTCGAAAAAATGTTTCCTCCAAAAATAGAGTTTTGAAACTTTTTTAAATGGAAGAAATCAATTAATAGAAAGATTTGCTGTTTCATCTAATTTTATTTAGTTGGGTTGATTCTTGCATACTTCGGTAGACTTCTGTTAACAAAACCTATTTCAGATAGCATGAATAGGCTTATTCTCTGTCAATTCGAGCTATACTCAGGTCTTCTGAAAACTTCCAGAAAATAGAAAATGGTGTCTTTCAAATAATTTTTATAAATCGAAACTTTCTGTTTCAAGTATCACCTATTTTTCAAAGAGAATTATTAAAGGGGGGACTCCGACCAAAAAATTATATTTGATTTTTTTGTTTTAAAATGTTCTCGAAGTAAGGTATTTTTATAATACTAATACGAAAAAATTCAGAAAAAAAAGTCGATGTCCCCGAAAACCGACAAAATTGAAGCGCCGCTCAGTTCTCGTCAACGAGGGACTAGAAAAATCTTGAGTTCGGCCACGCGGCCACCCATTTTTCAACCCAATTCTCGCTGTTTTCAGCCGTTTTTTTCCTGTAATTACCGTAAGAATGAAACTGTTTCATCAACTATTATATAAAGACAGCAAAAAAGTGTGTTCAAGTCAAAATATTCAATTTTAAAACAAAAAAAATCAAATATAATTTTTTTGTCGGAGTCCCCCTTTAAAGAGAATGCAGAATCCATATCACACAACATGTCAAAGAATACGACTAATTTATGAAGTTTATACATTTTTTAGCTTTCGAAAATCAGAATAATCTTACAATTAGGGAGCTCACAATGTAAAATACCACCACCAGTAAAAAATGAAAGTTGTTGTTTCAAAAATCGTAAAAACTGAAATTGGCCAAATTACAAACATTACACTGTCCAAAAGTACATTCCACCTCAATTTAAAAATGAAGCAGAAGACCTCTCTTTTTCTCTCATTTCCTCATTTTTCTCTCATTTTGATATTATCTTTTTTGTCTCACAAAGAGGTCGTTCGGCCGACAGTTTGCCGCTATTTATCTGGCAAATTCATCGGCCCCCTTTCGAGAAAAAATCAGGGTGGGGTATAGAATGGAAACACTAGATTCAAGGTCAGACAGAGAGAGAGAGATGGAAAATAGAGAAGATTGAAAACTATCTAGTTTTTCGATCGCTTCTTTTTGAAATGGAGATCGAGTATGAATTTGGAAGGAGCATGGAAATTCTTTTTATACCAACCTGATTGCCAATTCCTCCATTCTTGAGATGCTTCTTTTTGCAACGATGTTGAACGAATCGAAAATAAATATCAATCTGCTAAATGGATTACGGGGGTGGATACTTGAAATGTCTGGAAGATGATTGAACTGATGAAATTTTGGAATGGAGGACACTGGAAGAACTTCGGAAGGATGAATCATACATATTTTGGATAGAAAATAGTGAAATCTGAAGAATGTTGCCTAGGAAACAACACTGAAGATATGATATTATTCATATGGGTTATATAATAAAAAAATTCCGTTTCAAATATTCCATATTTTTTCTTAGATAAGAAAGAAAATGGAAGCTCCACTTACTGATAATTCGACACTTTTAAACTATAATATTTTGCTGGTACAAAAACTCGCAGCTGCGGAAGAGAAATTCGTGTGACCGTGGTCGAAGATCCCACAACGACAACTACCGTAACCTAAAAAATATGTTTATTTTCAGGATTTATTTTCTGGTTTAAAAACTTTTGAAAGTGAAAGAATTGAAACGGAAATTAAGAAAATAAATCCGGAAATAAAACTATTTTCAGGTTACGGTAGCTTTGAAAAAAATCGTGTTGTTTTAGTTATTTCAAATTGACTAAATATACAAATAAATTTTAGGTACAGTAATCCAGGGATAAATACGGCAGATTTAAATTCCAAATATCTACAGCAATCCTACTTGAAATCACTGTCTTGGATATACGCCGACTTGTCCAGCCATCTCCACCGCCGAAACAGAATTCTCCAAATTGCAAATCCGTGCCAAAAGGAGTAGTTCACCAAATTACTTTGACACCAAACAAGAAGCAACAGAAATCCACGTCGACACCTCCAACATCAGTGAGATCCACTGACTTGAAGTGAGCGATATTTTGAATAACCTAATTAACATGTCTACTGTTATTTCAGAAGCGACTATTTAGACAGTGGCTTGGAGAAACAGAAGAAAATCTAAATCAGGAATAAGTCTTTCCAATTCTTTAAGCGGCAGTACCGAGTCCATGGAGAATGTTAAACCAAAACAGAAAGGTCCCGTCCCCGCGAAAATGGTGAAAAGTGAGCGTTCATTGATTGGATTGGATGGAGAAAGTCTGAATGGGTATCCGAGGAATGCTAGGAACATTGTACTTGAGAAGAAATCATCTGAGAATCAAAGATCTCCTAAAGATTCAGGAATGGACGAGAGTGAGGTGAGAAATTATGGGGCGCGATAGTTTTGGTTAGGGTACTTCTCTGATAGGTAGAATTCAGCGGCGCAGGTTATTTCCAAAAGAAAAGAAAGTCCGCGGTCGGCCTGGACCCCGACGACCTTGATAAAAAGAGAAGAACATTTTCAGACCAAGGAGTCAGTATCCTTGGCCGAGGATGAAGAGCAACGTGATACATATCGGAAGTTATTCAAGGACCTTGGGATGGCCTCTCAGAAAATGACACTTGACGACTTCAAATATGAATTCAGTGAGCTGCCTGGGGATCCACCATCGGAACAATGTATGGCTTTCAATAATGGAGCGAATTCCAGAAAGAACAGATATTTCAGTAAGATTCAGAGTATTCTGATCCTTTTTCTGATTTTCTTCAATTTCAGATATTCCATGTCTTGACAGTTCTCGAGTTCGTCTCACATTCATGGCCCAGAAAAACAATCCATCATCTGACTACATCCACGCGAATCATATCAAAAGTCCCTTCTTGAAAAGTGGATATATTTTGACCCAAGGACCAAAAAAAGAAACGATTGCTGATTTTTGGAGGATGGTTTGGCAGGAGAGATCAAATGCAATTGTGATGTTATGTCAGTTTGTGGAAACAAATCGAGAGAAATGTTGTGAATATTTCCCTCGAAACGCAAATTCCACCCTTCGTTTCGACAAATTAACAGTGACTTTCGAGGAAGCAACCAATAATAAAATGGTCGTTTCAACTCGTTTAAATCTATCATTTGAGGGTGAATCTCGAGTGATTACTCATTTACAATGGAAAGAATGGCCTGATTATCAAGTGCCTGGATCATCGGAAGTCATGTTGAAGATTCTCAGAAAAATCCGAGCAAGAACTACTCCACCGATTATTCATTGTGCTGCTGGTGTCGGAAGATCTGGTACTTTGGTGGCGATTGAAATTGCATTGCAATCAATCAACACTCATTTCAAACTACCTGATATCAAACAGGTAATTCTATTTATTTAGGTTCCGAAAACACAAATTTTGATTTTTGAGATTGTGACAAATCTCCGTTTGACCGGTCGTGCAACATCTCTTCAGCAGTACATGCTCATCTGGAAAGTTCTTCTGGATTTCGGAGTTTCGAACAAATTGATTTCGGAAGATTCGGTCGTCAAATTTGCATCCACATATCATTGTTCTCTTCGCTCTAATTCTTGATTTCTTTTTGTATTCGATGTGCCACTTTTTGCTATAACAAAACGATTCGGGTTTTCATTTCATTAGGATGAAATTCTAAAAAATTATGTTTCAGAAAGTCTACATGAGCAAACTCATGTTTTGTTCAATGATGTATTGTTGAACTTTTTCATCTCGAAGTACATTTTTCAGACTGTTCCTTTTTCGACATAATAACAGTCACCGGGTTTTAAAACATAATAACAGGAAATTGTATTGTTCCAATGATCTAAACCAGAATAAAAAACAGGAATGTAAATGAGTAATTGAACTTTTTGGGATACAAATAGATACTTCTAATACATTGGCTAAATTAGCAGCTCGATGTATAAGAATCTGAAAACGAAGCCAAAAGTTCAGAGAGAAAAACATGAATCATTTAAGCAATAAGGTCAAATAATGCAAGTTTTCAGCAGAAAACACTTTGCATAATCTTCCCAGCGCAGTTTGTTCTATGTGCGAGGTGGACAGAAAAAATTGGAAAAGGCGATAATTCCGGTCAAAACAGCCGAAAAGTTTGAGATAATTGCCATAAAAGATCGAAACTATTTCCTTTAAAGTTTTTCCAGATCCCCTTAAAGTTGTTATTTGTGTCAGATTGTCCTGAAGCAGCAAAATATCTAGTAAAGCTTGAAAAAACTTTTGTAATAGAAGGGCTCCACACTGTCAAGTATAAGCTCAATTATCTCAATTTCTATGCAAGATATCAAAAATGCGTCAAATGCGTTTGATAGGAACCGAGATAAATTAGTTCAAATTTTAAGGCCCTTCTGTTACAAGTTTTACAGAATTTTGAAAACACTTGTCTGAAATCTTCAGTATAAGAAAATACTGTTAAAAGGTTTAAAACTTTGAATCTGATATATTTCGGATACTTTCCCTCGAAACGTTCTCTGATGTGGTCCTTTTCGTTCAACGGGATATTTTTGATCCCATCCGCTGACATCATCCCTTCCCTACTGTCACCTTTATAAATCACTTACATCTCGTCCTGTCTGAAAAAGTGTTCAATGCGTTCAACTAGTTTCGTGTTTTCATGATTTCTGTGTCCTACCGTACCGCTCCCTGTATAAGAGTTATTTATGCAAAGTTGTCCTCAAACCCTTTGAACTGTGTTTCCGATTCAATTTTCCGCCTAGTTTTTCAGTTCTATATAATCATAGTTTCAGCGGAATTACAGTCGTGCAGTTTCAGAAAAATGATTGTCGGAATATTGGCTTGTGTAACGGCTGCTTTGGCTCTCGGATCTGTTTTTGCACCGATCAAAAGGTTTCCGTCCAGTGATGGTGAGCTAAAGTTATACTTTCCAAAATTTCAAGTGACTGTTTCTCGGCTTCTCGGAAGTTCAAACCTGGACAGGAATCCGAGATTTTTGTTAGACTTAGATTTTGAAAAAAACTGATTCCTGTTTAAAATTGAAATATGAAGAGCTGACAAAAACTTTCCTGAAAACGATCTTTGGAATTCTAGGATTTATGGTTCAATTCTTCATGGGCCTCGGTGGATTTCTCACTAGTTTAGTGGTCCATGCGATACTCGGGTTCCCACCAGTTTACGGTTTGGCGATGTTGGGAGGATCCGTTTGGTGTTTAGGTGAGGGTTCGTTTTATTCCGGAACAATTTGAAAAAATATTCCAGCCAACGCCTTCGCCATCCTCATCATGAACCGACTCGGACTAGCTGTTCCTATTCTTATCTGGAGTACTGTATCTTGTTTAACTGGGTGGGCAACTTCCAGATATGGACTTTTTGGTGTGCCAAAAGGAATTCCAAGTTCAGTGATTCTGAATTATATTGGTGTTGTTGTCCTGGTTGTGGGGTAGGTTTGAAAAGTGAATCATTTGAAAATTGATGATTTGCAGAAGCTCCTTCTTTTTGTTCATTAAAACAAAAGTGTACAAGCCGAAAATGGCTGAGAAGTTGGCTGCAGGAGTAGAGATTCCGTCAGAGAAAAGTGTAGGTTCTTTAAAATACCGTAAAGACTCTATTAGATAGCCACCCCTAATTGAATGCCAGCCTCTAATATAGTGCCACTGCGGATTTGATGTCACTGTTGTAAAAGTTAAAGAATAGCACAAAGAATCATTTTCTGGTTTTCTAGTTTTTTTAAGCTTAAAAGAGGTACTGTATTTGAAAAATGTGTCAGGATAATATCAAATTCCGAAATTTTTTAAAAATAAGTAGAAAAATCGAGAAAATCTCGGAAGTCGTTTTATGAAAGAATTGAAAATCGAGCACTTTTGTGATAAGTTTTAGTGGAAATTAGCTCCGGACAATATAGTGTCAGCCTCTAATTGAATGCCACCCCCTAATACAGTGCCACCCCAGACAATCTTCGAACAATAGAGTGCTATGGCTATCTAATAAAGTTTTAACGGCAGATAAAAATCTCTAATAAAGTCAAAATAGGCATTTCAAATTTGCAAAGTGTTTGATTAGATTCTGAAACAGAGAAAAAAACTTTCCAGCTAGCCACCCAAGCTTCTGGTGAAGACGACATTATTCAACACCCACACCATATATCTCCAACTATTCGGATCATGTAATTTTCTCTCGTAATTTTCCAGCTTTATCCCTGATTTTTAGTTGCTTCCTGGCCGCAATCTTCAGTGGACTATTCTACGGATCGATGTGCACTCCAGTGACCTTTATTAGAACCGACCGGATCTTTATCCGGGAGCCCCGAAAGAGGGTCTACCGTATCTTTTCTCGTTTTTCCTCGGAATCATGCCAACTTCCACATTGGTTTTGGCAGTTTACTCGGGTGTAAAGTGAGTTTTGACTTGTTAATAAATTAAAATTTTTTAATCCATCTTCTAGAAAAAACAACCCCTCTCTTCCTTCATACTTGGTGCTTCCATCGCTTCTTGCTGGTGTACTTTTCGCATTTGGAATGGGCGGATTCTTTATTGGAAATGAGAAATTGTCACAGACAATCTCCTATCCAATATGCTCTTTTGCACCCGGTTTGATTGTCAGTGCATGGAGTGTACTGTATTTTAAGGAGATTACGGTAAGTAGTATTATGGTGATTCGGAAATGGCTGATTTGAAATCGGCAAGTGAAATGGTTAGGTATACCGGTAGGATAGAAGAAAGTGAAATGGTCAAAAAAGTTTAATTTTTTTTGACTACAGGAACTTTATACTTTTTCCTGCTTCAAGACACTTTCATCTTTTGAACTGTTGGAGGAAAATTATTATATACCAATGGTGAAAATCAAAACTGCACTTTTTGGAATTTACAAAAATTCACCGGAAAACCTGTAATAGAAGGGCCCTCGCACTGTCACGTTTTATCTCAGTTTTCTTGGTCCATATAAGAGCTATTGAAAATGTATCAACTGATAAAATGTTTCTGATATTGTGATAAACAATTTATCAGTTGACAACTTTTTATATCTTTCAAACAAATCGAGATGAATGACACGAACTTTGAAGTTTTTTGGCCTTTTCTATTACAGATTTTACGGTAAAAATTAATTTTTTTGCATTTTCAGGGAAAACGAAACCTAATCCTTCTCGGCATTGCATACGCATTCACTCTGATTGGAGTCATCATGGTTACAGTATCCAAAGATCTTTAATAATTCCATTATACAAAATTATTTGTACATTTATTCAAACTCTCGACCTATCATAATTTTTCTACAAGGAAAATTATGAATTTTCTCAATAAAACCGGTTATATAATTAATTTAAAAATAAATCTCAATACAAAAAACCCATGACAATAGAAGATGTTCAAGGGATCAGAAGAATTTCGACTTCTTCTTGGACTTCCTTTTAAACTTCTCCAAAATATCGGTAGATTCAGAAGCATTTGAAATATTGTAGCTTCTGAAGAACTTGCCGTTTTCAATGTTTATTTTTCGAATGTAATCTGAATCCAGTAGAAAACGCGAGCTTTTCACTGGTTTCAGCTAACTGAAATTAAATTTCAGAGTTTTGGATTGCTGAAAATTTGAAATTCATAAGTCTTCGATTTTGAACTTCCTCAGTTTCTCAACCTCCGATTTTCTGAAATTTTAAGTCCCAGAATTGCACCGAAAATTTCTTTTTTTAATCTTTTTATTTTCCTTTTACTTTGTTTAAACCCGGCTCTCATGATATAATAATAATATATTTATTTTCTCGGAGTTTTTTATTTCAGATGTCTCTGTTTCTGGAGTGCCTGATTCTGGAGCAACAATCGTAGCTGTAACTTCTCCAGAGATTGGATTCTCTTCACGAGTTCTACCATTTTGTTTCTTCTTACTCGAACATACGTTCATTGAGTCTGTAGAATTATTTTTTTAACTGTAGACTGGGTTGGTTGGCGCATTTCTCGTGACGAGCTGTAGAAATACGCCAATGCCTCGGAAATGTATCCGTTGCGCTACCAAAAATCCAAAAATGTTGACTTCACAGTTTTCTCCATTTTGCTTTTTTTTTTTGAGATGGAACACTGTTGAATCGATGAATAATCGATGAATAACAAACCTATTTCTTGGGCGTCAACTAATCACAGTTAAAAAATAAGAAAATTCACAACCGTGATTTTTGCAAAATTTTTTTGAACAGTTTCAAAAAATGTTCCAATTATTCAGAAACGATACAAATAGCATTCTGACGAAATTTGACAGCTCAATTTCGTCTTTGGGCTCAAAAATCTCCAAATAGTGATTGTTGTAAGAACTTTGACAATCCCTAACTTCTTGAATATTGCTTGAAATTAACTGAAATCTATAGAGATAGGTTCAAATCTTGTATGTGATCGATTTAACAGTACCCCACCTCGAAAAGAGCAAAATGAGCGATTTTGAGAGGTTGAAGTTTTCATTTTTTAAACGATCGGATGCTGTAATGACCAACCGGTAAGATCATTATTTAATTTTTCATCAAGCTCTCATGAAATACTTTTTTACTGTGAAAGACCTTCCGTTTACTTACACGCTCCCACAACCGAGTTTGTCACCGCTCCGCTGCCAATCAGAGGAAGCATGAGGGTACATATAAACGGTGTTCGTGTATAGAGAGACGATAAAGAAAATCAGGCTTGTAAGGGTTAGGTGTTCTGGAAACTTCCAGATGAAAATTTTCAGCATTTTGGGGAAATGTACATATACAGATTTTGACAGGGTTCACAGTTGGGTGTCAACTAACCACGGTCAAAAACTTCAAGCAGATGAAGCTGATATGAGCGATGAGGTGATGACACAACATGAACTTATTAAAAGATTTTTCGTACTGGAAGATTTGCATTCAATGAATTACGGAGTTTATGCTGATGGAAGATTGTCGATTGTGGATTTCAAGGTAAGATTTAAGTTGATTTTTCAAAATGACTCACGTTTTCGTTTAGGTTGGTGACAGCTACGGGAATGCTGAAACATACTGGGAAAGTGGAAACAGACAAGAAAGGCAAAGAGTTGCCCGACAGTGTTTCGAATCCTGGAAGCTCGAAGAGATGGTTATAAAAGCAAAGGATTCCATCAATGAGAAAACTCTTCAGGATGAACGGGATTCAAGTTAAGCAGAGCCACGATTTAGATAAATACTTGGAGGAAATTCACAAAAACATTTCTTTGATTTCTAGTTTATTGTAAGAAATACGATGTCATGAAATAAATTTTTGTATGTGTTTTCATTCAATAATGGGGTTGTTCAATAAGAAGCAAATCAGCAAATTCCTATTTTATGATGGTTCGAACCCCGCCGTGGTTAAACTTTTTTGCTTTTTTCGAAATCAATTTTTGATTTCCAGTTCGGTCCTCTAGATATTTTATGATGCTTTTTGATGAATTTCAATGGTTTTCATAGTAAAAAAAAGTATTTCATGAGAGCTTGATGAAAAATTAAATAATGATCTTACCGGTTGGTCATTACAGCATCCGATCGTTTAAAAAACGAAAACTTCAACCTCTCAAAATTGCTCATTTTGCTCTTTTCGAGGTGGGGTACTGTTAAATCGATCACATACAAGATTTGAACCTATCTCTATAGATTTCAGTTAATTTCAAGCAATATTCAAGAAGTTAGGGATTGTCAAAGTTCTTACAACAATCACATTTTGGAGATTTTTTGAGCCCAAAGACGAAATTGAGCTGTCAAATTTCGCCAGAATGCTATTTGTATCGTTTCTGAATAATTGGAACATTTTTTGAAACTGTTCAAAACATTTTTTAAAAATCACTTTCAAAGATTCTGGGGACCCTTGGGAAATTTCAAATTTGAAATTCCAAAATCAATGCGAACTCTTTCACTGTGAGAAAAAAGAAAAGAAGTATAACAAAGAGAAGTGGTCCCACCTAACATCTACCTCTAGCTCACTAAAAAAAAGATAATCTGGGAAATTTCCAAATGATCACCAAGACGTTGCACACAATAATTTCCGTTTGGTTTTGGACGAGCAAGTACTTTATAATGACTAATTTTTTGTATTTCTAAAATCAATTCAGTCTAGTTTGGACCAGCTTGAACAAAATATTATGTCAATATCGATAATTAAAAAGGACTACTTGGATTTTTATTTTGCCGATGGTCGGAAGATCTTTGGTTTTGATTTGAAAATCCAGATTGTCCAAATTGGACTTCGTCATCTGGAGAAGGTCATTGTCGTAAGTTTTCAAAATTTTATTTTTTATAGAGAAGAGTATAATTGTTATTTTTAATGTATATTTTGCACCACTAGGTCAAAATTGTATTGAAATAAACTTGAATAATTTCAGAAGCACTCCAATTTTCCTAACTATGTAGAGATGATTGGTTATGCAGAAGAAGCGCGAAAAGCAAAATCAGACGGCAACGTTGCTGGAATTATATCCTCCGTTGATGCTGCTCTTCCACATCTCGAGTTGCTGAAATCATCTGACTTCTTCGTGACATATCCGAAATTCGAATCAACGCGACGTTAATTTAGAAATGATTTTTATCAGTACCTGGACTCGGACCACAAGCATATCGACTTCGCCCTTGAAAAATATTTTTCGAAGACGTTCGATGATAACGCTGAGTGCCCGACCGTCATCGTGAACTGTGAGAAAAAGTGGATTTCGCCACGAAATGCGACGAATTTTATGTTTAAAAAATATGCAAAACACATGAAAAAGGAAGAAAACGAAAAATTTTATTAATAATATCTTTTAAAATCCAAATTAAATTTTTAAGGCCGTTTTCGTTTTTTCGTGTCGGGACCCATCGACGAAATTGCCTGTGCGCCTTTACTCAACACTTCACGTGTTTTTTGCAAAATGTGTATTTTGCAAAACCCGTGAAAGCCCATTGCTCTCCCAGCCCTGAGCTGGATATATTCAAAAAGGAAATTTAAGAACTTTCTAATGATGTAGGTCATGACCTGTAACTTGACATTTCCAGATCTTTGAAAATTAACTTTCTCAATAAAAAACAGATATTCGTTATTTCTAACGGTAATCATCGTTCATTTAAAAATAAGTCACAATACAAAAAGAAACAGATGAACCGCGTAAAGAAGACGTTCAAGGGATCAGAAGAATTGGGACTTCTTCTTCTTGGACTTTCTCTTAGACTTCTCCGAAATTTCGATGGATTCAGAAGCAGTTGAAGTACTGTAACTTCTGGAGGACTTGCTGATGGTTTCCTTCTTTTTCTTCTTCTTGTTCTTCTTTTTATCCTTCTTTGCCTTTCTACTTTTGGAAGAATCCTCAGTCGTCTTCTTCTCCTTTCTGGTATGCTGCTCGGTACAAAAACTGATGCATCTGGTACAGCTGGTACAGGTGTTACATCCAATTGCGCTGAAAATTAAAATGGTATAAATTTTGATAAAATCAGAAAACTACTTTTTCGAGTAAATGGTTCTCAAACTGGAACTGGTCGATTCAGTCTTCTTCACCTTCACCACCTCCTCCTTCTTCTTCTTTTTCTTCTTTTCCTCTTCCTCTTTCTTCTTCCTCTCATCTCTTTCCTTCACAATATTCTTCAAACTTTGAGTCAGTTCTGCATTATCATACGGTCCCTCATTCACCGATTCCTTCAATCTTTTCTTCAGAACACAATCCTTGAGCAACAGCCGAACCTTCTCACGAGTCGCTGGAGAACGAGCACCCGGAAATCTGGTATCCGAACTGACACGTGTCAGTTTGATGGGCGGAGCCTCTTTCTTCTTCTCCTTCTCAAGTGTTTTAGGTAAGTCAAGTCGGTGTCTGATGGGGTGTGAGCAACTGGTGGAACAGGCGGTTTCATGAATTCAGCAAATTGTGGCTTCTTGGATTTCTCCTCCTTCTTTTCCTTATCTTTTCCAACTCCAAGAAGAAACTCTCTGACCTTTTTTCTAGTCTCCACAGATCGAGCCCCAGGGAATGGAGTGATTGCAAGAGAAGGTTTCAGAGGACGTCCACGATAATCAAAAGCTTCTGCAGTGAGAATCGGTGACATGGAATGGCTACGTTCAACTGCAGTTCTTGTGACGTCGGATGGAGATGGAGAGGAATCAGGAGAGATTCTGGAATTAAACATATTATTGAATGTACTTAAAATTGCTTGACTTGCGATGGAATGCTGTTTCGGATGGTTCCAGAATCACTCATTATATGACCACAGTCCATTGGAATTTGAAACTTTTCTCGGATCTTGAAGTTCAAGATCTTCAAATCATCCAGAATTCGCAACGACTTCTTGTCCATGCCTTCTGGTTCCTTCTTTCTTCTCAAACACGTCTTCCATTTCTTTGAAAGGATCACTGGACGAGATGTCATTCGTTTTTGATGTTTCGAAGATTTGTTCTTATTCTTACTCTTCCGTTTTCTGTGCTTGTTCTTCGTTCTTTTCTTCGTCTTATCACTTGTTCCGCTAACAGAAGACGTGGATCCCAGTGTGGTCCATGAAGAAGATTCAGGTGGTGAAGAAACGGAAGAACGGAGAGAGTCGTCGATTGGTTTTCCATCGGTAACCACACGAATTCTCATCATTTCCTCTTCCACGTCATCAGTGGAACGTTGATAGTAGATTGAGAGACCATTGGGACGATAGTCAAAACGAGTTCTCGAATGAGAACGTTTCGGAATCGATTTCATTTTTCTGTTCCGAGTGAATTCTGAAAGTTTTAAATTTTGAAAATCAGAAGATGTCGAGGGAGCAGAAACTTACGGTCTCGATCGCAAATCTCTTGCTTTGCAGGTTTTCTTCGCGGAAATTTATGAGAAACTGATTTCGAGTCGACAGCTTTGATTCGTATCAACAGTTGGCTTTTACGTGAATGGCCAGGGCCATCTAACAAAAATGGCCATCTAACAATAGGGATAAGAAGATGAAAAATCTTGGTTACTGTAGAAGACGTTGAATTAAGAAGAGCAACATCTTTTATTCTGGTACGAAAAAATTGGAGCTGCGGAAAAGAGAAATGGTCCGACAGCGACAACTATTGTAACCTAAAAATATTGTTATTTTTCGGATTTATTTTCTCGATTTTTGTACTTTTTCGGTCAATTTTTTCTCTATCAACACATTTTATTTTCCTGAACGAAATTTTTCGATTTTCTTCCATAATTTGTGGTTCTTTTCCTATTCTTATTCGAAAATTCAAGTCTTCTGTTCATCGCAAAAACCTCCTTTTGAATTTCCCACGGTTTTGTGAGGAATTCTCACAGAGCGCGTTTACATTACACTCACAATTTTTGGTTGATTTTCGACCTGAAAATCATCGTTTTGCATCGTTATTTTACTTTTTTGTTCATTTTCGGCCATGACCGTTCAATCAATAAAACAACGAAATAAATTGTATCTGGAAAAAATGAATTTGACCGACCAGTTCGTCACTCTTCATGAAAAACTTCAAAGCGAGCTGAATCTGGCGAATTTGTGTGTTTCTAAAGCGAAGTGAGCATTTTTATAGCTATTTTATTGATTTTATGTTGAAAAATTACAGGACAACACATGGAATCAGTCTGTTCAGTGTGAATTCGGTGGATACTCATGATTTAGAGCCGTCAGTGAGGTAAGAAGTGTAAAATCTGCCTAAGTTTAATTTATCAGCTTTTTTTTGTCAGAATCGAAGTAGTTGATGGAAAGTTTGAAGTTGTGAAGGAGCCAGAAGAGGAAGAAACGATGAAGAAAGAAGAAAATGAGGAGTCCTCTAAAAAAAAGAACAGCGGAGAATCAGAAGACGTTGAAGACGAGAAGAAGTCACCGTTCGCGGGGCAGTTCCGGCCGTTCGGAGTACTTGAACCGTCAGCAGCCAAAGATGCACGAAAAATGTATAAAAATGTCATTCAGGTATTCAATTTCTTTTTAAATATTTTCGAACGATTTGTTTATTTTTTCAGACAATCGTTGATTTGGTCTCCACTCAACAATCGATCATCTCCAAGTCTCGTGAACTCACTGCTGCTGATAACTGATCTATTTCTATTTTTTCTGTGATACTATTTCATCATGTGCATCAACATAATAAACAAAACTCTCGATTTATTTCAGCGCGCCGCTCGTCGTCGTCACATTAAAACGGGGTGAGGGGGTTGGAGATTTTCAGAGAAAAATGATTTCAGCAAGAGACAAAAAATAACATGAACACAATAGGTAAAATTCGACGCAAATTTCCTGAGTTAAATTATATAAATGGACAATTAAAAGTTTCAAAGTTTTAGAATCCCTGAGAGTGCAATTTTGAGGAGGTAGAGTGGTAGTGTTTTGAATAGAAACGGGGAGGCAGAGGAAATTTGAATAAAATGAAAAGTAAAAAAATCGAAGAAAATATAAAGAAAGAAGTAAGCATGCAAAAAGGAAAAGAAGATCGAAAAGTGCTACATAGGAAGATGATTTGCCAACAACTAATTGACAGAAAATCTTCCGCAATAGTTTACAATTAAAACTAAAAATTTAGTGGTGTTCTCCATGGTCTCGACGCCTATTTTCCAGCCTTGTCAGCAGTTTCAGTCTCCTTTTGTTCAACTAGTTTCCCATCCTTTCTTTCATTTTCTTCTGGAGATGAACGATCAGCTTCTTCTTGAGCGAGTCTCGCCGCTTCAGCTTCTTCGGCGGCCACTTGTTCCGGTCGATGTTTTCTTCTTCTTTCCGGGCACACAGAACTGACATGTTCTTCCGATCCACAGGTATAGCACACCTTGGCGTCAGTCTTCACATTCGGACAGCCTTTTGCCTTGTGAGTTGCAAACTTTCCGCATCGGAAGCAACGCAACGAGACAGCCTTCTTTCTTCCCAGCGGATGGATTCTACTTCCCTTCAGCCCTTGTCCTTCCACTTCTCCTGAGACCTGGAAACACAGATATTAAAGTAAACTTTTTAGTGTAACAGATTTCTTTTCATAATTCTAGTTATGACAACCCAATACAGTAAGATTTAACTAAATTGTCGGCCCAGAAAAGATTTCAAAATTTTGTTAACTAAAATTACCATATTCATCGTTTCGATATTATTCTGGTACTACAAAAATTGAAACTTCCGACCATGGTCACCGGCGTTTCTCTTCAACAGTTCCGATTCTTTTTTTCAAAACCCATTAAAGCAAGTTTAAACCAAACTATCGGTCACCAGGAATGATTTCAAGAGAGCTCTATAACTAATAAAACTTTCGTATTTATAGTTTCGGTGAATAATTATTTAGTTTACAAATGTTTTATATCTTTTACAGATGACTTATAGTGGTCAAGGTGGAACTTTGTGAGAGTCAATTCATAAAAATAGCTCTGGTTGGCAATGATCAAAACTCAATTTATATTTCCCTTAACTCCTTTACACTTTTGACAAATTTATTCCTCGTCATTTTAACTCAATTTCAGATTTAATTCTCTTCTTACCGCATAAGCCTCTTTTCCTTTTCCATTCGATCTCTCCTGGATGTAGTACGAGACACGTTCTCCCTCATCAAGACTTCTAAATCCTTGCATATTCAAATTGGATTGATGCACAAAAAGATCTTCCCCGGTGTTATCATCAATCACGAAACCATATCCTTTCGACACGTTGAACCATTTGCACGATCCAAAGTAGCGAGGCGTTGGTGACTGAAAGAAAAGGTTGGGAGGGATTAGGATAGGAATTTTCTCTGGGTTCTGAAAAAAATTGGATATGTTTCTTGGTTATTCTCATGAATCTCCTTTCACTGGCTCCAGTACAATGAATCCCTGATCAAAGAAGGAGTTTCTATTTTTCCAGAAGTACAAAAGAAAACGTATGATGTCAGAACAATGATTAGAAAAGACAAAAAATACTCAAAAATAATATTTTTGTTTCCCCTACGGTAGGTCCCTACTGATATCCCGCAAGGTCCGAACTGCTGGGGTATGCTGATGCGCTCTAATGAGAACGGGCGTGCTAAAGTTTTAGGCCGATGAAAAAACAAATAAATTAGGAGCGAGAGAATAAAATCTCAGTGAAATATAGTGGGTGTTGCTGAGAACAATTTTGTATCATTACGACGGGAAAAAATAAACCTCCAGCTGACACGCTACTTCTCAATAGAGTGCAATTGCGTACCACGGCAATTCGAATCCTATGATATCCAGTAATCCCGAATTATCTGAATAGTGATCACGAGCCAAAAACGGACCAAATATGACTCGAAAACTGATCATTTTGTTAGAATTTTTTAGTCCGTTTCTGACCCGATTTAAATCCCTTTTGGTCTGTTTTTTTTGTTTTTTGTCTGTTTTCTGGTTCGGTTATGACTTTAAAACGAGTTTTTACGGGTCAGAAACGAACCAAAAACGGACCAAAAACGAGCCAAAAGCTGACCAAAAACTAACTAAAAACGGACTAAAACAGACTAAAAATGAACCAAAAAAGGACCATTGCTCTCCATGAAAACAAAAAAGATATGACCTAATTTTGTAAATTATGATTAGCATAATCTAGTTTGTGTAGCCTTATAAGGAGAAAAACATTCTATCAGCTGACCATGAACTTTGAATTCTTGAGAAATTTTGAATAATCGAAACATATAATTGTTGGTTAATCATAGATGTATCATACCAAGCAATTATCTGATTATCTGATTGTCAGTTCAAAAAAAGTACCAAAGCTTTTAGAAATTTTCCTGATTTCAAAACTACTAACTTTTCGACCCGAGAATCAATAAGTAAACAAAACTTCGCTCTTCCACACACTCTACTATTTTTTAAAACGTACCAATTGGGATTTGATGAGTACAGGATTCTCCAGTGCAGCTTCAATCATCGTCTCCTAGGTGCTAATCACACGACTACGGGTGTTAGGGAAAGAGGAAAAAAGGACACCTATGTCCTGAGAGAATACAGAAACAACAATATACCAGTGAGAGAGAGAGAGACACCGAAGTGAGGGAAAAAAAGACAAATAATAATAGTAATAAAATGGAAGAGAGAGTGAGGATTCTGCAAGGCAAAAGAAACTAGTGGAAGAGAGAGTCAGAGAGAAATTGAGGGAAAAAAGAAGAAGAAGGCGAAGAATTGAGGGAGAGAGGAGCGCCGGAAAAGTTTTATAGATAATACGGATGAAAGAGAGACCGAGGCGAGGGAAAAATGCCAGTGGGAGACGAGGCAAATGGACGGCGGGGACCCCGAGCTGCAGTGTCGAAAGAAAACACGGAGAAAAGAAAAGACATTTCTCAGCTGACCTCTTTCTATAATTTCTCTCGGTTTCTTGTGATCTCTAATCAGACGAACAGACGAGGGGTTCCGCGCGGAAGTGTGAGAATAAGAGGAAGAAATAGATACCGTATTCCTTTTCGGAAAAGGTAATAATTCATAGAGAACAGAGGCAACAATGCACCTGCTTTTGCTAATAAATGGGTTTGATTGGGGGCCAGAGATTAATTCCCAGAAGTTCAAAATCTTGTTTTGCTTATTAAAATCAGAACGCTGCTCAATTTCAACTTAATGTCTTCCTCGGGGAAGGGAGCCAGATAAGAAATTGTTTTTAATTTCAAGATTTTAGGACAATTTGAGAAGCTGGATTACTGTAGAGATTACTGCAGAACTTTCAAAGAAGCGTTGTTGTAGGATTACTGTAGTTCCGTAAAACTACCAGACTTCTCCGGAATGTTTTTTATGAAACGGAATCCGGAATAATATATTTCATGGAATCCGGACATCTCTGACACCAATGTGTTTTGGTGGATTACTGTAGGGATTACTGTATTACGTTTAAGGTAGCATCACTGTCGGGATTACTGTAGTTCCGTATAACTACACTGCTCATTTTATCATTTTTAGTCCAAAATCATGATTTTCTAGGATTCACAATTACCGTACAGCCAACACCACCCCTTCAACTTTGAGGTCGATTATCTCGATTTCTTTCAAAGATGCAACAAAGTTTTCAACTGATGAATTTTTTATCATAATATCAAAAATTTTATCCGTTGACACATTTTTTATTACGTTTACAGGAACCAAAATAAATTAGGCTGAACATGACAGTGTGGGGGGGGGCCTTTCTGTTACAGGTTTTACGGTATGGAAACACACAAGGTTTTTTTCGAGATTTGAGAAGAATGAGAAATATTCACATCATTTTGTATTTTAAGACGGTGTATTACTGATAATTGAGTTCAAAGTTGAAGATTTGGGTAGGCTTCTAGTAGATGAAATACGGTACTTTTTGACATTTAAAATTTTTGGCTGCAAAATCCTCAGGCTCCCTCAAAATGGGGGATCAATATAACAAATTTCAGAACTTACTGGAAGTCTGTCAAATGATGGAATCCCCATTGTTTCCTCGAGACTAAGACCGTTGATGTCTGGAAGTTCTTTCGAAACGTCATCTTGTGGTGAATAACGTTCGTTTCCTCCGTTCCTTCCCTCCGATACTACTGTCGACATCCTGGAAAAAAGGCAATTTCAGAAGCTGTCTCAACAAAGCGCATTGCAGCAAGAACGGTGCAACATTTTTTTTCAAAAAAGATGGATAATAGTAGAACAAGAGTAGCGAGAGAAGAAGAGATAGAGAGATGAAAAATGGACGCCTCTTGGTATCTGACGAAGGGTCAGGCGCCGGGCAAGGCAAAAATTTAGAAAAATAGAGGACAATGGCAAATGAGGAGAGAAACAGAGAAAAAACAGTGGAAATGAGGATGGGGAGCAGGGCGCCGGAGGGCACAACCCGCCGGGAGAAGAAGAAGAGAATATTTGAAATGATGAGAAGGATTGAGAAGGATTGAGAAGATGAGGATATATGAGAAGAAATTAATGAGATGTATTTAAGGGATTTGACATTTTTTGGAGATTTTTGAAGAATTTAGGGGATTCAGATGAATTAGAGAACTAATTAAAGAACACTAAAAGTTAAACGTATAGGCCAATTTGATTCATTCGATCTTTATTCTTCAAGAAGATTTGAACTTTTTTAGACTCTTTTTTGAATTACCGTGAAACCTGTAATAGAAGGGCCCGCACACTGCCAAGTTTGTGCTGATTTATCTTGTCCGCTATGCAAGATATCAAAAATCTGCCCACTATTGATATTTTTGTGATGTTATGACAAACTTATCAGTTGACAATTTTTTTCTATCTTTCACAAGAGCCAAGATATGTTGCCTCAAAGTGAAGAGTTAGGGGCTCTTCTATTACAGGTTTTACGGTATTCAAATTGTCAAAATTTGAGTTTTTGATTTACTGAATTTTTGAATTTTTGGAATTATCTTGGATCTTATGAGAGATATCAAACATTTGTCAACTAATAAAATGTTTGTGATATTATGACTATCATTTTATCAGTTGATTACTTTTTTCCATATTTAGCAGGAACCGAGATAAATCTATTAAAGGTTTTACGGTAAATGCGATACGATAGCGAGACGCTGTGTGAACACTAAACACTGTACACCATTACTTCATAGTGCATACGCTAACTCCAAAAAACTCCGAAAAATTGAAAACAGAAAACTGAAAAAGGAAAAAAAAGAAAAAAGTTGGTGTAGATCCGCATCAACTCAATATAAGCAATTTTATCAGGAAACAGGTGATATTAAGAATAAAGAAAACTTTATTAGAAAAAAGAAAAGAAATAAGAGAACAAGAATAGAAAAAGAAGAACAAGACATACTTTTTTTTTAAAGATAAGAGAAAATTCGTCAAAGATAAGAAGAACGGAGAAGACGAAATTTGAAATTGAAAAATATGAGAGAAATGAAAACGAGAGATGATTTTTCCTGCAAAAAAAACGAACTGAGAAAAGGCTTCCATTGGATAGAGAAAGAGAAAAGAGACTGATAGAATCGTCAGTTGGTGGATCCGTCTTCTTTTTTCAAGAAGAAGAAGAAGAAGAAGAAGAAGAAGGATGGTGTTTTTTTTTTTGGGAGAAGCAAGATAAGAAAAAGAAGAGGAAGAAGAGAAACAAACCGATTTTCGGTGTTTGACACTTGCAAAGTGCATTTTATACTTGATTGATTTCAAACTGATAGATGGATCAATTTTTGGAATCATGTGATCCTCTTCTTTGGATCTTGGGAATTAGGAAGATTAAAGTGGTACATACTCTAGAAAAGTGGCTCAATAAAAGAACCTCTTGTTTTTGAGCAAGGATATTTTGCCACAGAAAAAAGTGAAATCTCTGAAATTCGGGATTTTTTAAGTTTTTGCTTCTTATTCAGAGGTTCCAACGAATTTTGAAAAATTCCAACAGATCCGGAAAACTGAAAACGAGGAATTGAACCGAAACACACATCTCGGTTCTCTTTTTGCTTGTCTCGTGGTGTCTTGTTCCCCAGTTGTTCTCTCATTCGCATCTCTCTCGAATCTCCTACTTCTTTTATGCTATTCTAACTGACGCCAAGGTTTTTGAAAAAAAAAAAGAAGAAGGCGCTCCAAGATGCGATCGGTCCGAGGAAGAGGACGGAGGGGTTTTATGGGATGCATAGAAATGCATAGAAGCAATGGAAAAGATGAATACGAGGACGAGGAGTTTTTTCAGGTTACGGTAGTTGGCGGAGGACAGTTCTCTGAATTTAGGTCATCTGAATTATCTGAACTGTTTTTTTTTCTTGTAATTGATGTATAATCAGCTCTCGCGGTTTATTAAAGAAGAAAATAGTGAAAAAACCAAAAAATCCTTGAGCATTCGTTGTAAAGATCAATGCATCAGGATAACAACAACAACACCTGAGATTTCTCCGGAAAACTCATGATTCGAGGAATTCTTAAAGTTTCAAATGACATTTTGAATTTTCTGAGATATTTTTACCGGAAAAAAATTGGACAACTTGTGAAATATCGAGCTGAGACTCGAAGAAGGTTCAGATCATGCGCCTTTAATCTTACTGTAAGCTGTTTCGTAAACATCAATAAATTGGTGATTTTTGACATGTTCCTTTGTTTTTTTTTTCAAGTTTTAATTAGGGATGTTCGGAAAAAAAATTCCGAATATTCCATTTCCGGAATAAAACTTATGACCGGAACATTTCCAAGGTATTTTTTTTAATCGAAACTAGAGTTTTGTAAACTACGGTATGTCAAAGGCGCATGCAAAAAACTGTTCTGTGGTCTTCGAGCGGAATTACTTCCAATACTATTTTTGCGTTTTCGGAATCTGTTTTTTTTTCAATTTTTAACCATTTTTTCCGCTTTTGTAATGAAAGAGTGAAAACTTTACAATTTAAATGTTTAAAAATTCCGAAATTTAGTAAATCGGAATTTCGACATTGTTCCGAAAAAGCTATTCCGAACATCCCCGATTCATATTCATTGAGGTCCAAATTTTTTTTCGATTTCTGAAATTTTCAATTTTTAGAATCCGTTTTCCCTAGATTTTTTTCGACATTTTTTCCCTTTCCTAAAAAAAATCGCAAAATTTATCGTATTTTTTTTTGTCAAATCAAAACCTTTCTGCAAATCAAAGAGAGCAGTGGGTAAGAACAAACAGAGTCTGTGAAGGGAGGTTATAACAAGAATATAGTACTAAAACCTGAGAGACGAACGACACAAACACGGATACTTCCTCCCTTATGTTATTTCTTTTCTAATGATGTTCGACCAATTGCTGCTAGTCGTTATCTACGAAAATATCTGGAAAAAGGCGATGGCGATCGATAATTAAGCTTTCGTTTCAGCAATTCCTTTTTTTACATAGAAGTTTCGTAATAACCTATCAGTTTAATTTCCAGGTCCCATCAAACTTGAACATTTTTCTGCGAAAATGTTACTTCAAGATGAAGAATTATTAGAGAAGCGACCCAGTTCATCATCACTCGAAAGGTTTATTCCAGAAATTCCGGTGAGTTTTTTGTTTCAAAAAATATTTATCTCAATTTAGCTTAAAAATACTTTTTTTTTCGTTGATCAACGAACGTGTTTGAAGTCTTGAAGTTTTCTCAAAAGCCAAACTCAATTCTTCCATTGACATTTGATAGCTTTTTTCCCACACCTACTTTGTGTTCTTTTCAATAAAATAAACTTCCGATGACTCATTTCATGACTTCCGATAACTCATTTTTCATCGGGAAGATTTGCATATAAAAACCGCCTATCATGCTGACCAAAAAAAGCCTTTTCAACAAAAATATTATTTACTTTTCGTCCCCTTTGAATATTCAACCGAACCTAAAGATCCATTTATTGTCGTCATAATTTCAACTGACTGGAATTTGAACAAACCAAAGAGTACCTAATCTCCCGACTAAATACTTTAGCCTTTATGACGAATATATAGTCTAGTATATCGTTTAATCTGTCATTCATACAAAATTTCCAGCAAAAAGTGAAATCTCGTCGAAAAATGCGGAAGCTGGTGTGCCTATCGGGAATCGTCTGCGTCACAATGCTTTTCTTCATCGCAGTCTCCAGTTGGTTTTTCGTTCGGGATTTAGGTGGTGTTAGATTGCACAGATTAATATATATATATATATATATATATATACTAATTAAAAATATATTCTAGACAAACACGAGGCGATTTGTAAATTTTCAGCTGTTTTTCAAAATTGCGATCAAAACATTCCGAAAACTACAAATTTTCCAGATCGCATTTTTACACCATTGTGTTTCTCACATTTGTTTTATTCTAAAAACACCAAATCGCCAGCGAATTTGTCAAAATTTTCGCGATCTCAAAAAACCCCAAATTCACAAAAACTCCTCATGCATGATTTTAGATGTCCTTATGTTCCTGCATGCTTTCTCAAAACTTATGTCTCAAAACTTATCGAACTTTTACTGAATGTTCCGTTGGTTCTTCTTACAGTATAACCTGTATTAGAAGGTCTCCATTTTCAGCTCAATTATCTAAGTATTCTAAACAATATATGAAAAATGTGTCAACTGACAAAACAGTTGTGATATTATGATGAACAATTTATCAGTTGACAACTTTTTGATATCTTTGACAGGAGCCCTTCTATTACAGGTTTTAATTGCCCTCATTAACACAATTAACCTCATCACTTGAGCTTAAAATATCTTTTCTAATGATTTGCCTCGTTATTTTCAGATGTTTCTTCACCGAATGAAGTCCCACTATGGAGTGCCAATGTGATGGATCCACAGAGGAATGAGAAGACTTTCAGAATCCTACTCGTCGGGGATACTGGAGGTAACTATCTATTTATGAGAAACTTTCAACCCTATTTCTTTAGGAATTCCAATTCTGGAGACCACTTGGGCGCAACGTGGAGTCAAGGAAACAATGGCTTTGATAGCGAATGAGAAGGATGTTCAGATGGTGCTCAACATGGGTGATAACATCTATTTTACGGGTCCAACCGATGAATTCGATCCGAGATTTGAGGTGAGAAAATGAGAAAAAAAATGTAGAAAAAATAGAGTGGTTATAAAAAAAGAGAGAATGGAAGAAATGCATGGAATGAGTCATATATTGTTCTCTTTTTATTGTGTGATAGCGATTTGCCACATTCTCTGCTACAGTTGTATATTATTTCTGTACAAAAATGGTCCCACAACGACAACTACAGTAACCTAAAAATTCTGTTTTTTTTGTAGATTTTTCTGTTTTAGTCTGTACGAAAATAGAGATATAAAATCCGGAAAACAGACATATTCTTAGATTACGGTGGTTTTCGTTGTGAGACCACATCAATGCATCGTTAAAATGTAATAAATTTCGTTCCAGACCCGATTCGAGGCAGTCTACGACTCTCCGAGCCTCCAAGTCAAATGGCTTACAATCGCCGGAAATCATGATCATTTTGGGAACGTTACTGCTGAAATCGAGTACACGAAGCATAGTCGAAAGTGGTACTTCCCGTCTCTCTACTACAAACAAAGCGAGGAATTCAACGGAACTCGCATCGATTTCATTATGATTGATACAATTTCATTGTGTGGAAACACTAAAGATATCCAAAATGCTGGCTTCATCGAAATGCTGCGAAATGAGTCCCATGATCCGAGAGGTCCGGCGAATGTGAGTGCCGCTGAGGAGCAGTGGACATGGCTGGAGACGATGTTGAGTCAAAGCAGTGCCCAATATTTGATTGTATCTGGCCATTATCCAATGCATTCCATGTCATCCCATGGGCCAACAGAATGCCTCCGTATTCGACTCGATCCACTATTGAAGCGATACAACGTCAATGCATACTTCTCAGGACACGACCATTCCTTGCAGCACTTCGAATACGATGGAAATGAGGGTCACAAAATTCACTACTTAGTTTCGGGAGCCGCTTCTCGTGCAGATGCCTCGACGAAACATGTCAAAGAATTCAGTAAAGATAATTTGAAATTCAAGTGAGTGTTTTAACTATTACAATGTATCTGAACTTCATTTTTCAGTTATCCCGAAAAATCCTGGTTCTCGTGGTCACCAGTGTCACAACTTGGATTCCGGAAAGGTGGATTCATCTACGCCGAATTTGGACATGAATCTGCTCGACTCGACTTTTATGACAAAAATGGAAAACAGTTGTACGCGACATTCATTCCTACTCGTCGTATACTAACAGAATTCGTTACGAAATCCACTGTTTCTCCATTTGTTGAGATTTAATGCTTATTTTTTCTCCAGTTTTTTTTCCATGATTTCATGTATAATGACTATTAAGCGGGTACTCGACTTTGTTGTGCATATCAGGATTGAAACTCATCTAACATTGCAGTCTTAGAGATACGAACGTTAATTTATTGATCTAATAAACCCAGTTTTATCAGCAAAAATTGCCCTTTTTTATTTATTTATTTATTGATTACGACCTTCCGTCGTGGAAAAAGAGAAAAAAGAGAAAAGGAATACAATACAATCACACAAAACACAGATACACGAATAACTAGACAACACATTCAATTAAAGTGGAGAACCGAATAGTAACACTATTTCCAAATAATAGCACATAACCATCAACACATACACGCATACAGAATAAAAATTATACCTGCAATAATGATTAACAGAAATAATAAATTATTTTACAAATTAGAGAGAGGGGGCCTTGGGTTCTCAATTAGACTCAGAGTGCGGTTGACAAAGAAGTTTCGCCTTAGTTTAGATTTTTGAGAAATCGTGTCTTTCTTCTAGTACGTGTTTCAGTTGACGCGAAAAATTCAGTTACGTTCAGACCTATTTTTTCCGATATCGTTTTTGATACCATTTTCCTGTCTATTGCTAAGCGTCTAGAGTGTAGTGAATTAAGGCCAAAGAGTAGGTTGCGCTCGCTCGCAGATTTATATTTCTTATCGTTTGGGTTAACATATCTTCCTAGTTTACGACTATACAGTCTTCTTGTGAAAGAGTTTTGCACTGATTCTATTAATTTAATATCTGATAATTTGAAGGGACTACTGATTACCGTACCATATTCGAGCACAGGCCTTATGAAAACTTTGTGTATTATCCTTGTCAGAGAAAAAAAAGGTTGAATCGAAGTGTATGCGATGTTTGTAAACAAATATCTGAAAGCGTAAACAACCGGAAACAGTTGAAACGAGTGCGGCAGTAACCCGGCGGGAAAATATTAAATTTACTCATTTTTTAGCTTTTCGCATATTTTGCAGCAAATTTGCGTCGAATATATTTTAAAATACCGCAAACAACAATGA